GTGCTTATGTGCAGTTAGGAATCTAAATCATGACCTTATTTATGTTTTGGGTTTACGGTGATCAGTTGTCTTGTTTTTAATTTCTTTCAACAGGACTTCAAAAACGATAAAGAGTATTTGACGGCAGAAATGAGACAAATGCTGCTCACTGGAAAGGTAAATGCACGACACCGAGGCTTGTTACGTTACATTAGGCTTGTTACCCACAGTTTGCCAGTAAACTCTAAATTTGAGTCATGATGTGGAGCTAAGAGGTTTAAAATTTTTTCCATGTTATTCTGAGCACAGAAAGCTGAATTCTCTTTCACTATGTAGCCCAAACCAGCTCCTGTGTTAGGAGCAGTGAACAAGCCTCTGACGGTACCAGGGAGGAGGATCTTCACCAAGACCACCACAGCTTCAGACACAACCAGTAACACCAGCACCAACTCCTCTCCTCTGAGCTCAACAATCAACAAGAACAGGTAAGCACGCAGACACAGATGCTACAGGCGCTCGCTCTTAGACATAAAGTTTCCGGTATCACTGACACTCTCTGCGTCTCGCAGTAACAGCAGCTCTACCATTGAGTCATCAGAGAGCAGAGCACAGGAAAACAATGAGAACCCAGTCATCAAGGCTGAAGAGGTGAAGAAGGTAATCTCACGTGGGAACTACACATTCCTGCGTTTAAGCACTGATTTTACTCAACTGAACTGTTATTGCCGTTTCCCAGGTCGAGCCCAGTCAGAAAGCAGCTCCCGATGCCGGGACAGAAGCGTCGCCTGTCAAACGACGTGGTCGCCCGCCTAAATCAGCTGCTGCTGCTCCAGTAGCAGCTGACAAAGAGGGAGGAGCGGCACCAGTGGGGGGTGGAACCAGCAGAGGCAGGAAAAGGGCAGCTGACCCCAACTCGAACCCGTCTGCAGAGTCAATCAACATCAAGATGTCAAAACAGCAGCAGCAGAATGACGAAGGGACAAAGAGACAGATTGACCTGCAGAGGTGAGGTCTGAGAATGAGAGGAACGTGGTTTGCTGGATTCAGATCTGGTGATCGTGGAGGCCATTTGAGTACAGTGAACTCATTTTCATTAAGCTTTGTGACATGGCCCTTGACCCTGCTGGAAGCAGCCATCAGAGGGTGCTATAATGCTCTGTGTGTACTAAGGAGCCCAGAGTGCTACAAGAAAGTACTCCCCACATGATTACACCACCACCAGCAGCCTGAAACATAATACAAGCCAAGATAGATACTTTCATGGTATTTACACCAAATTCTGACCCCGACCTTCCCAGTGTGGCAGCAGAAATTAAGCCTCAGTTTTGTGCTGTCCAGTATTGGTGACATGTGTGATCTGCAGCCTCAGTTTTCTGTTCTTGGCTCACAGGAGTGGCACCCGGTGTGGTCTTCTCCTGCTATACACCATCTGCTTTAAAGTCAAACTTGTGTGTTTAGAGATGCTCGTCTGCATACCTTGGTTGTAATGAGGTATGCACAGTTATTGCTGCCTTCCTGTCAGCTCACAGCCTTCTGGTTATTCCCCTCTGACCTCTGGCATCAACAAAGTATTTTCTCCCAGAGAACTTTTGTTCGCTGGATATTTTCTGGGATCATTCCCTGTAAATCCCAGTAGATCAGCAGCTTCTAAAATACTCATACCATGGACCATACCATGTTGAATCCCTTGAATCACCTCTCTTCCACTTTTTGATGCTCACTTTAAACCTTAGCAGGTTGTGGTGACCATGTCTGCATTCCCTAAATGGACTGAGTTGCTAACAAGTGATTGACTGATAAGAGATTTGAGTTTATGAGAAACTGAGCATGTGTACCTAGCAAAATGAACGGCAACTTTATACTTAAAATGTCCATTTGCAGCCCTTTTCCACCAATACCTACTTGGCTTAAGTCTATCTCCCTCGGTTTTGGTCATTTTCCATTATCTGAAAGTCCTGTGACATAATTTGTGTGTGACATGAACACAACAATGGAGGATGTGGAAGTGATGGTATACCTGTTTTTGTTGGTTTATGGGGTTCTTTGTGTAGCTATATCCCTCATCACTGGCTTTCAAAATGGCAGTTTTGATTTTTGCAAAGGAGTCACTAATGTGACGCCACCGTACAGTCTGTCGGTGCAGAGAGTGCCTACTCTGATGTAGGAGCTTTAAAAACCCTCCTCTGGGGTAATGAAAATATTCCTGTGGTCTGAAAGTGATTACTGTTCCTACAGGTTTTAGGGGCAACCTGCATTACAAAGTGATCACTACTGAGATGTTGCTCAGAATTGACCTTTTAGTTTTTACAGATGTTTGTACAAGTTGATGAACTCTTGGGGAGAACCCTGATTTAAAGGAACAACCTAAATATTATCTAAGGATTTGTGTACATGTTACGTTGATGATGATGATGATGATGATTGCGCCGACACTGACTCAAAACTTCGTCTTTCAGGTAAAGAGGAAACCACTGAAGGTGAAACCAAGACTGTAGAGACTGGGCCAGACTCTTCCTTATATCCTCCCAACCCTGCGTACAAGCTCCTCTGACTCTTACAGCTTTCCTGGATACATTATGGACCTTTCTTAAAACACACACACAGGCACACACACAAACACACACACACTCTAGAAGGTTTTACCTTGTAGTCATGATTTGAAGCTCATTGTATGTAGGTCTTACTCAGAATCATGTTATTTTTTTCCTTTGTGTTTGTTGCTCTTTGCTTCTTTTGTGGAGCCATTTTTAAGAAAAAACAGGATGGATATTTTACAGCCGATTTAATCTGGTTATGATTGTTGCTTATTAAATCCCCTGGGAAAATCCTACTGTACGTCTCTTGACCTCTTCCTCTTTGTGTCTGAGTTGCACAGTATTTTTTATTTTATTTTTTTTTTTTTCTCATCGGTTTTTTACACAGTTATATTTTGTAAATATGCCTGTGTAACTTTCCACTGAAAACTTTTTGAATATCTAAGTGAAAACAGTTAAAATCTTTGCAGCAGTTGGCTTAAATATGGGAACACCTGATACGTTTAACAGACGTACCGGCACCAAAATTTTATACACTTTGGTAAGTTTAGGTTTCTAACTTTGGTATGTTTAGGTGCTTTTGCTTGTTTATAGCATCACAAGGCCAGTTAGAAACTTGCAGGTGCTTCTCAAGTGACACCAGTAATGCTTTTAAAGGCCTTTTGATTTATTTCCAGTGCGTGTAAATGGACAAAATTAAGCGGTCAAGCATTTCTGGATACTGTGCTCCCAGCTCTGCTCGCTGCCTCGTGCCCTGGACATGTCAGAGGCTCTGAAAATGAGCTGGGTTTTAATGACTTTTGTTTTCTTTTTTTTACTTCTGAAGTACGTCACTTTGGATTGCATAAATGATATATAACTATCCAAGTATGTGTTCAGGTTTTTGTTCATCTTTTATGATTGAATATTTTTTGTACTTTTGTCAGTTTTCTGTTGGGTTATTCCTGATTTTTAAGCATCGAGTGAGTGGATGCCATGTGGGTTGTGTTGATGACGGGGACTAAATATGCCTATACTCATGATCATATTTAATTTTTTCCAAAAAGAAAAAAAAAATAAATGCTTTTAGATGTTATGGTGCAGTGCGTTTGTCTCTATGCCTGTGTTTTGGAAGTGCAGATTTCAAAAACAGGTGATTTTTCCACTTTTTTTTCTTTTCTTTTTTTTATTCAAAGAAACATGACACTGTCACAATAAATAACCATGCTTTTTATACTGCGGATGCTTGCTTCCGAGGACAAGGAAAAAAAATAAGTCTCAACCCAAATGGAGAAACTGAGATGCAACAGGCCCCTTTTCTATGCTTGTAATCGTGCAATATTGTACATCATGAGGAAGACTGGGGAGGGTGTCCGTTTTTGTCTTTTTCTTAGAAAATATTCGATCCAGCCATCAATGGTGCACTCTAGTGATAAGATGGCTCTTTATTAAGAACCAAACCCAGCTATTTACAAGTAAGGGAGATGGCGTGTGCATTCTGCCTGCCTATGAACTTCCTTTTTTTCCCCCCCATTGTGAGCAAAGACTGCTGCACATTAACTCCATGTTGCAGTGTAATACACTGCTGTGCTGGTAGGGACTGAGCTGGAGGTTAAGCAAAATAATTCCTTTATTAAAAACAGAATGGCCCCTTGTGTGGGGATGCATCTACACCCTTTCTCTAAATGCCAAACATGTTTTTACAGTCCATGTACCTCAAAATCAAAAATATGTGAAAACACTTCCCAGGTCTGCTATTTTACTTCATAGAATAACAGAGGAGTTCCAGCCTCTTTTACTACCTAGAAGACATAGTTCAAAGACGACCTCAGTGAGTGTTTTATTTGGCTGTGTAGTAAAGCATGTTTGGGAATATAGGACATCACCTATATACCTGTATATATGGCCAAAGCCTTTGATTGACTGGATCAGCAATAAAGTGTACAGCGCCGCCTCCTATTGGTTATGTTAATGAGCAGATCCTCAATCTGTGGCCGAGGATGTGCGTATGGTTAAAAAATAAATAAAACAGCACTGCAAACCCAAATCCTTAATGTCACTCATCAGAATCTTCCTCTCAAATGTCTGAAAAAAAATTCCATTCGCTTTCCATCAACGTGTTCGGTAGGGCTTTGGTTCCCTACCAGTGTAACGCCAAACTGGGTGGTGCTTGGTGGCTTTCCCCATCAGAAGTTCCAGGTGTCTGATTATATAGAATGAGTCCTGTGAGATCCAAGAGTGTAGGAGAGGGGTGTTAAACCAAACAAACACCCACTGCATCATCTGGCCAAATCAAAATAAAGGCAACAACATGAAAGGACAAACACGTGCACAAAAAAAAAAAAGTTGGACTGTAGATGATAGCAGAAAAAGTGGCTGAGCTGGCTGTTAGCTCCTGTGCCATGAGGGCCAAGATTTTGGCTGTGCCACCCTTTAAAAAAAAAAAAAAAAAAAAATACATTCAGAGGGACTTCTCATGGATCACAAAAGCATGAACACATTTATCTCCTTACAATTGTAAACTAGGCATAGTTTATATTTAAAATCTGTTTTACAATGCCATGTAAGAAAAAAAAAAAAGTACATCCCCACTGTATTTTCAAATTTACACAGATCTATTTACAGATTTTTCTTCTGTGCATGTGTGCAGATGTTGGCAGATGTGTGTGTGTGATTTTGTTCTAAGTCTACATACAGAAAATAAAACCTGTACATCCAAACTTCTGTAGTGGATTGAGGCATCAATGAAAGGTTGTTCAGGAGAAAAAAAACATTACACTGCTCATGCACAGCACTATCCAGTCAAGAAAATTTAATCCAGCAAGACTTTTTTTCTTCTTTACAGTACTAAAAGTCTGTAGCAGAGAAACACACACGGTCCAACTGGCTGCCGAAGGAATTAAACGGTAATGTAGTGTAGAAGCAGTCAGCAGGCTTTCCTTTCCTTACATTTTACCCTGGAAAATCCACCTGATTACAGCAGCTGTTCGATCCTTTACAACTTTAAGGAAATTTGTGGGGGGAAAAAATAATGTGTTTAAAGGGCATGGAAGACTGGAGGCATGGGTGGATTTTTTTTTCTTCATTTTTTAAGGGTGGGAGGGCTTAATACTGAAATACACATATTGGGTAGGTGGGAGTAAAGACTCGGCAGGCAACGGGGTGCTGTGCATATTGGCAAATGCAGCGCTACTGGTGTTGACTTAGTAGCAAACAAACTGGTAATAAACGAAGGCTCAGACTGCCATGGTGGATGGGGTGTTTGTTTTCTGTGTAACAAAAGGCAGTGGTGGAGGAGCTGACACTGTGATGAAGGGTTTTTGGATCCTCACACCTGGCTTCAGTTGCTTAGGAGCAGCTCTGTCGCCGTTTCCACGTCCCAGGATTTTGAAGACAAGGCCGCTATTACTGCATTCTGTATAAAAGGAGGAAGAAAAGTTGAAAAATGATTCTCATCTGAGAATTCGCAGATCTCACAAAGGCTGCAGAGAACAAGAACCACCAACTGCAGCTGGAGTCCATCCACGAGTCAAGAAACCCACTGGAGAGAGCTAAATATACTGTTTGTTTGTCTTTAAGTACTGCGGTAATGTAAATGTTTGCATAAGCTTACTGCATAATAATAAATTCAAGAATGCATGCTCACGAACACAAATGAATACTTGTGTGTGTTTTGTGTAATCCATCTTGCAAGGCCAACATTTACAAGGCTCCAGCCATTTTGAGAAAGTTATTTATACACTAGAGACTATTCTGAACTATAAAGTAAAGAAAAAAGATCCACAGACATAAAAAGGAAGGAATCTACATACTATCTACTACAACTACAATCTACTACTTAAAGCCTTAATTCTGGCAGGTAAGAAGGCCATCAGGAGGAAATGGTTGAGCCCCCAACATTAAACCATATGCACTGCTGAAGGACTTTACAGAGTGAAAAAAACCCCCCAAAAAAAAAAAACCTATGAGTTGAGAATTAAGGCCGTCAATACCTTTGACAAAAATGTGAATAAACTATGTAAAGATAAGTTATAACCTGATGTTTCCAGCTTATCAGCACTGTATATCATGCCCCATTCATTTCTTACTTCTGCACCTGTAAAACGTTCTGGTTTAAATAAAGACTATTAAAAAATACTAATGATAATAAAATTCTGGCTACCGCCAATGCTACCCAATAGCCTCCTACCAGACACATCTATGCTATCAATTTTAAAATCCTATGTTGCCTTGTTCTCAACTTATCGCATTCACTAGATTTTCAGAAAACTTGACCTCTGACTTTAACATTGAGGTCTCTGAGATTCAAACTTCTCCAAGATTTTTAGGGGACACGCTGCCTCATCCTCGAGTTATCGCATTCACAAATTTAGGTATTCACCTTGTCTGCCCGGCTGCCCCGCAGGGTGATGTCAATATTCCGTCAGCCTTTTACAGCTGAGGGGTAAAAATCATTTTAAAAATTATTACATCACCATCCAACTTCAAATCACCCCCCTCCAAAAAAATTACATTATACACATATATTATTGTGTATAATGACCGTATTGAATATAATGCCAGCAACAAACCAGAACACCAATTAATCTCATGCAGCGGTCGATCCAGTTCACAGGTTACTGTAATGTGTAGGCGATCATTGTGTGCCAGTTGGTTTAAATCTGACCAAAACTGCAGCAAGAGTAGTGATTCTTGTGAATTGTAATCGAACAGATGCATGACAGATGGCTCGTCATGGTATGAGTTTGTCCAGCATTCAGCTGAACAAACTAAAAAGTTGACACGCCGCATCTCACTGTTCATTACCAAATATTTCGTTTTTATCATTGGGTAAAAACATGGCGCCAGAGATGGAACAAGTCTTCAGGGAAGTGAATAGAGGGTGTGGGAGGGTAAAACTTCAAAGAATTTGAGCATTTCATTAGCAGATGAGAAAAGAAAAAGGTAGAAGGGCTCAATCTGAGCAGCTCACGTGTCTTATTAGGAAAGAATGAAGCAACAGCTTTCAAAACAAAAGCACTTCTCTTTGTTTCACAAACACAAAAAGCTGTTGAAAGAAGATGTGATGCAACAGTGATGAGCATCGCTCTTTCTAAATGTCTCTAAAGCATGTTGCTGCCATCAAGCTGAAAATAAGCATGTTTCTTAAAATATGATGTTATTATGTTAAATATAAGCTCAGTTTCCCAGACAGCGATTAAGCCTAGTCTTAGACTAAAAACTATTTTATCATTATTTACTTTTTTAATGGAGAGCTTCAGTGAATTTTTCCCTTGCTCTAAAACAAGGGACGATTAATGTTTGGGAAACTGGCTGATAGAGTGTAACTAAATTTTACCTATAAATGTGAGGGCACAACAAAAACAAAGGGGTTCTGACCTTATCGAAGCCCATGGCACAGAGTTTGTCTATTTTACGTGTATAGTCAGGACTGGAGACAGGAGCGCCCGCGTAGACGTGAGACCAAAGCCTCGCAGTCTGTTTGAACATTTCTGGGTTCTGCTTATACTGAGGATTCAGAAATACAGGTCTGTGAGCAACATCACAAAATGAACTAGCAAATATGGCAGATTTTATTTTAGACACAAGTTCACACCAGGTACCGAGACACGTACAGTTACCCAAATATAATTTGGTACTTTAATATCCGATTATAAGCAGACAAAATGCGAGTCGTGCATTAAGTCCTTCCCACCTGGTTTGCTACTACTGCATCCTGTGGATCGTCTGGTTCTGCTGCAGCGAGGAGAGCCTGTAGAGATAACAGCACTGTCCTCAAGGTCATAGCAGCTGCCCTGAGAGAGGGTGAGAGGGCAGGTTAAGTGAATGGAGCACACAGGCACACTGAGAACAGTTCAGATACTTTGCACTTACCACTGGTCTTTTAAAATGTCCAGGCATATTGCTCCGGTCACAGAACTGATATTAGGATGCCAGATCTTAGTGATGAAGCGCACCTAGGACATACAGATGAGGAAGCGTTATCTAGAGAAGAACGTGAGGTGACAGAAAGAAGAAATATTTACAGTTTCTTACAACAGATATGTCAGTATCCAGGCTACACTACAGTAGCTGTCATTTTACCATGTCCTGATGTATTGCAAGCCATTGCGAGGGAAATACTGCAAATTAATGAGCCAGCAGTTATAGTTTATGGCACCACTGCATTTTACATCTAAGTGACAAATTAACTTGATGTATTAAGCATTTAAATTACTGTATAAGCCAAACGCCGGTAGTTTAAACCCGTAAACTGTTACCTAACAGGTTATTTGGTGACATCATTTCAGGGAAAGATTGATTTCTTACCACCCCTGTGTTGAAGGTATGTTTACAAGATTCATTTGGTTACAGGAGGGAGACAATAAATGTTTATTTTCACTATTATCAGTATTAGACTTTCTCTTTTGCTTTTAACATACAAGCTAATAGTGACCAGAAACCTGAAAAGGCTGTTTACAAGTCACGTTATGCTGTTCTCTGTTAGAGCACTAACACAAAAAGGTTTTGTTAATTGAAGCATAATAGCTGAATTTACCTCAAAACTCTGATGCTCATAAGAATTATAAATTGATTCCGGTCAAAGTGCCACATACTCGCTTCTCTTCATTGGCTCACTGTTAAATCCAGAAATGAATATAAAATCCTTCGACTCACATGCAAAATCTTGCATAATCAGGCCCCATGATATCCTAAAGACCTCATATTACTATACACTATACTTCGAATACATATCGTTCTTGGACTGCATACTTGTGGTTCCTAAAGCGTCTAAAAGTAGAATGGGAGGCAGAGGCTTCAGCTTTCACACCCCTCTTCTGTGAACCAGCTCACATTTTGGATTTGGGAGGCAGACACCATCTTTACTTATAAAATTAGACTTAAAATTGTACATTTTGATAAAGCATATAGTCAGGGCTGGATCAGATAACCCTGAACCCTCCCTTTGTTATGCTGCTACAAGCTCTGACTGCTGCAGGGCTTCCCATGATGCACTGAATGTTTTGCTCATCATTTATCTCCTTACTCTACCTGTTTTTATTCACCACCACTGTATTTAATCATTAAGCTCTGGTTCGCTCTCCTTTAGTTTGCCTTTTGTCCTATTGGTCCCTCTTTTTTCGCTTTCCTCTCACCCCCAACTGGTTGTGGCAGACGGCTGCCCGCTCCCTGAGCCTGGTTCTGCAGGAGATTTCTTGTTGCTATATGGGAGTTTTTCCTTCCCACTGTTGCCAAGTGCTTGCTCACAGGGGATTGATGTTTCTATTATCGTAGAAACATGGGTGCTACATAATTAAAAGTGATTTGAACTGCAGCACTGGGAGCGGTTTTTAGAGTTGGGTACCATGCACAGGGTCACTTAGGCATGAGCAGTGGCAATTAGTGACAACCGATTTTACCAGCTATAACAAAAGTGTACATGTTTTCAAAATAACTGAACAAGGAAGAGAGGCAGAGGATGAAAGGCACTAAAGCAAATACCTTTGGCGGGTTAAAAGGATAGGTTTCTGGGATTTTTATTTCAAGCTGATATCTGCCACCTAGGAAAGAGAGAAAAGCAGACATGCGTTAGTATATCAGACCACATGACGAGTATCACATATCTTGGCCATCGTTTCCAATATTACAGTACCTTCATATGGTGTGTCTGGAGGCCCTGCTATCTCACCCCTCAGCTCTGTGAAGTTCTCGTCCACCAAATCTACTTTAATCTGGTTTTTACTCGTCTGTAGGTTGGAACAAATGCAAAAAAGAAAGAAAGAAAGAAAAAGGAGTTACCCAGCTCATGTCTTCACGTGTTCACATCAAATTGAAAACAAGAAGTCCCTGGCAAGATGGTTGCTAGAAAAGGCACGGCTAGTGTCATTTTGTGTTAACATTAAAAACCAATTTGAGCCCCATTCCCAGAGGAAACACTAGGACAATTCAGGTTAGCACCAAAGTTACAAAACTATAAAACAGCATTAACAGGAGTTGGGCAGGAGGTGATATGACAGCATACACCTTTTAAATAAACGCAGTGTATTCAGACTGTTAACAAACAGCTGATTAACGCCTGATAAGTTTGTTGAACGTTGCAGCAAAACATCACGGCTGCTAATGCTAACTGTGGATACATGTCAAAATAGCGTTAGCAAGCCTTGCTAACTGCCGCTAACTCATTTACTTTGCTAAACAGCTGCGGTTCCCTGCCTGAGGCGCTAACAGGCCACACACTCTAGGTTTACTTGACTTGTGTAATTAAAACAAAGGTGTGCGACGTTGTTTGTTAGGCATTCAGGGCCTGTCAGCTGAGAGAGCCGAATCCCCGGTGTTTCCTGAACACACCCACCTGACATAACAAGGGAGGTTCGCCTGGACGCTGATTTGAAGCTAAAGCTAGCTAAAGTTCTCCTATTTGGGCCTGACCTGCTGCAACAGAGGACCCAAACCTGACTAGGGTAAATCTATTTGGTCACAATAACGGCTGCCGGTAGCGTATATTTTAACAGAGCTGACACAATTTTAAAGAAAGAGCTGAGTAGAAGTGAAAATAAGCCGGTAGCGTTACCGCACCTCTTCGCTTTTGAGAACTTCTTTGAACTCCCGTTTGATCCTTTGGACCGCAATGTTGGCCATGGCTGTGTCTGCTGAGCTGCTGCCGCCGCTGCTGCCTTCAAGCTACACCCGTGGCCCGTCTCCCTGTGTTGTTTGTTTGTTTGTGTGTGTGTGAGGGGGGGGGAGGCCGCCTGTTCGGTGCTTTCCACACTTACGGAGCTCCTTTCACTTTCACCGTGTATAGCGCTTCTTTCCAGCTCAGCGAGAGTTCGCAGTTCGCCTGCCTGCGCTCAGCGTCAGTCCGTCCAGAACATACACACACACACAGAGAGCAGCTGCATGGAGCACACACTAGAACTTTCATTAATGAGCTCTGGTGACAGTCAACCTGGGTTGATGCTCTTTTGTAACTTCCCTTCAGGGCATTTCTGTCATGGTTTCCATCTGATTGTGGGGGATGTTCTTACTGGAATGGGAACTCTTTCTTACTCACATTTTATCTACATGGTGGTCAGTATCTCTATGTGTGTATGTGTGTGTGTGTGTATGTATGTGTGTGTGTAATGTTCTGCATATATGTTAAAAGCCATATATGCTATTAACAGACACATTGCAGCTTCTGTCACTCCCTAAGTATCTTGTGATAACTGGCGCAGGCAGCTGTCTATGTAGAGTGCACACACTCTTCATCTACAGTTCTTCAGCTTAAACTTAAAACTTTTCAGCTGCATTCACACCTTTGTGGTTTGTAACATGAATGGCATTTCAGTGGCTTTCAACTCTTGGAGGTGCAGAAGAGAGCGGATGGAGGGGGTGGGGGCATGTTATGAGGGGGGATTTGAAGGATGCAAGAGTGAAGGGGAGGTTTATAAGATGATATGATGTATGGTTTGGAGATGTCAAAACTGACAAAAAGACAGAAGGCTGAGCAGGAGGTGACAGAGCTGAAGATTCTCAAGTTTTCCTTGGGATTGACCAGCATGGACAGGAATAGAAATCAGTACATTAGAGGGACAGCTCAGGTTGAGCAGTTTGGAGATAAAGTTGTAGAGACGAGGCTGAGATGGTATGGGCATGTACAGAGGAGGAAAGGAGATATATTGGGCAAAGGATGTTGAAAATGGAGCTGCCAGGCAGTAGGGAAAAGAAGGCCCGCAGAGGAGGTTAATGGATGTAATGGAGGAGGACATGCAGAAGGTTTGTGTGACAGAGATGGATACTAGGGACAGGGTGAGATGGAGGCGGATGATCCATTGTGGCGAACCCTAAAGGGACCAGATGAAAGAAAAGGAGTTGCTTCCATCTCTTACAGATGCATCTTTATAGTCACTAGAATAAACTTTTGTTTCATTCACAGAAGTGAATGTATTCCAGGTTGGTAACAGATGAAAGTAAGGTAAAGAACCTCTCATATTTTTTTTAATATTGATAATAATATTAATAATAACCTCCACATATATTATTATATTCAATGAGGGGGGGTGTTAATGGTGTGTGTAACTGAGCTTGTAATGTTTCTAAAACTTGGAAAATACAACAGGTTGGTGCTTCTCTGGCTCTTATTTCTAAGTATTGGTGTCTTATAAGCTTATTTGGGAATGGTGATAGATTAACTTCCACTCCCACAGTGACAAAAATAAAACCAATAAGTTATATAATAAATAAATAAATAAAAGCCCAGATTCAAAGTTAAAGTATGTGTTGTGCTGCAGAAAGGTATCTCTTTGTTTTCCTTATTTAAAAGAATAGCATTTATATAGTAGCATAACAATTAAATACTTTAACTAATGAAAACTTTAAGTAATGAAAAGTATTCAAGTCGAATCCACCACCATGTATTTGATTACACAACTGCACAGATGTTGTAGGTTCATGGGCCTCTGTAAGCTGACAGGCAACTGGACTGTTTGTTTACTATCCAGAAAAAGTGATCGTTGCTTGTTGTGATTGGCTCAAAGGGCCCGCCCATCAGACTTTCAGACCAATAACCAAGACAGCTGTTTGGCTGAACACAGAGCAGAGCCATCGGGGAGCCGCCCCACTCCCGAGGTCCCGGATGAAGAATAGCCGCTGGCTCACGTGTATTAAACAAAACACAGACGGTGGTTTGATGTGTTTGCAGTTTGATGGTCTCTGTGTAGAGCAGCGGTGCAGCTCGGGCCCCTGAGAGACAGTGATCGTTTTATTAACATCACGCCGCTCCAGTAAGTCGCTGTTTTTTGCTCTCATGTCTTTGTTCAGTTAATAACAATCTAAAGACAAGGGAGTGGGGGTGGGGGGTGGAATGGGTGTGAGTTTCCTCTGGCTTGGCTGGCGGGGTTAGCAAGAAGCTAGTGTAAACGTTAGGCTAAATCACGTAATTTTAAAACTACAGGGAAGTAACCGTAGATGTCTTTAACCTCGTTTTAGCTGACTTCCGCAAAAGTGCAGGCAGTCACCCGTGGATCATACTGCAACCTTTGTATGTCTGATGTTAAACCTCCTGCAGTCTTAATCGGAAAGCCGCGCAGTGACAGATTACGGTCTTCGGCTTTAGCTGTGTTGATTCAGGTTGTTTGTGGTGTTGTTGCACTACGTTGCTTCACATATTTGTGTTGTTTAGTTTACTGTCATTGACGACAGTGGGGTGGAGGAAAAAAGCTAGCTATAAGCCAATAGAAATTTAACAGCACCACCAAATGAAACCTTTAGAATGCCCATAAAGTTCACCCAACAGCCCTCTAGTTTATTACACAATCTTTCGCTGAAGGCTGTGAGGTTTAGCCAGGTGTGCATCACTGGCCGCTGGGTGTAGTCAGTCTTAGGTAAACATGTTTGGCTTTTTATTTTTTTTATTTTGTTTCTTTGTGGTGTAGACAGATAATTCGGATGTCTATTGTGTGCTGGTGGATGCATGGCAAGAAACATGAAAATAAAATAAGTGGTTGAAAATATCCTAATCACTGTATATATGTTGGCCGCTGTTTTGTTTTTTTGTTTTGTTTTTAAATGATAACAAGATATAATCTTGAAAGAAATGTCAGCCAGTAAAATCAGCCAATCCCATCACAGGTATTCAGTGCATTTAGGCGTGCAGATAAGGTCGAGAAGAACTCCTGAGGTTCATAGTTTGTAAAAGAATGTGGAAGAAAGGGGATTTAAGTGACTTTAAACACAGCGTGAAAGTTGGTGCCAGATGGGCTGTGTTTCAGTAACTGCTGGGTCCTATTCCAGGATGAGGTCTAATTTAAATGGTAAATGGCCTGTATGTATTTCTGTTCGCTTTTACTAGTCCCTAAGGACCCCAAAGCACTTTACATATCCAGTCATCCACCCATTCACACACTGGTGATGGCAGCTACATTGTAGCCACAGCCACCCTGGGGCGCACCGACAGAGGCGAGGCTGCCGGACACTGGCGCCACCGGGCCCTCTGACCACCACCAGCAGGCAACGGGTGAAGTGTCTTGCCCAAGGACACAACGACCGAGACTGTCTGAGCCGGGGCTCGAACCGGCAACCTTCCGATTACAAGGCGAACTCCCAACTCTTGAGCCACGATCGCCCACAGGGGCTGAGTTTGTTAATCCTGAGTTGAGGGGAAACTCTGGGTTTTCTGTTCCAGAGAGAGCATTAAATTGAACTCTGAGCCAGTGTCCAAGGGGTAACACTGTGTGAACCCAACCTGCTCACTGGCCGGTTTACTTCAACAAACTGAGATTCTATCAGAGCTCATAGCAGCGCAAATCCATTTGCAGAAGCCTCAGTTAGTTTATAGTTTGCAGTTTTTTATACTTAATATGAGCTCTTTTATAATCAACCAATACTCAGTGTAAAGATGTATCCAACAATTACACTGTAGATTTATTATCAGTGCAAAAAATAAACTCTGTGCTCTCTGTTATAACCTCTGTGACTCTGTGGGCAGTAATTGAGCTGCCACATTGAACCTTGAAGCAAATGGGCTTTAGCAGCAGAAGACCACACCTGGTGCTACTCATGTTAGAAATAGGAAGGTTACCGTTCACATGGGCTCATTAAAATTGACAACAGAAGATTGGAAAAATGTTGTCTGGTCTGACCAGTCTCAATTTGTGCAGTGACATTTAGATGATAGAGTTAGAATTTGGCGTAAACAGCCTGAAAGTATGGATTTTCAGGTTTCATATAAGATGATGGTTCAGCGGCCTGAATTGTTGAGGCTGTTGGTAATGTAATGGGCCCAACAAAGTACTGGCAAGGTGTACCCAAGAAAGTGGAAATGAATGTATTTCAGTATCGTTATGAGCTTTAGAAGTTCATCTGGGGTTTGTTATGGGTTTGATAACCACGATTAGACACCTGTAGCAGACATCTGTGTGTTTGTGGTTGTTTTGTTTTTGGGGGGGTGTTTTTTGAACCATTGTCAGTGTGTGTTTCACCTCCATCATTGTCAGCATTAACCAGCTTGATCTTACTCCATCAATGCTTTATCCAAGCCAGAAATAGCTCATCTTCCGTTGTCACTCATAATGACAGCAATCATCCAAGTTCTTGCTAGTATGAGCCACTTTATTAGCAGGTTCTAAGCTCATAGTTGGACTGCTAGTTTGTGTCATATGGATTCATCTTTTTTAAAAAAGTATGTTCATACAAAACATGCTAATACACTGAGAGTGCAGAAATCAGCTCTGAATGATCCAACATGGTGTTTCATAAAGGGCTTCATAGAGTGATAAAGGTGAAGGCTATTTTAAATAGAGGCTCAACATTCCACAGTTAAAGTTTATTTTCTCTTTCAAGGTTACTGCGATGAAACTGTGAGATTGGCGGAATATGGGGATTTGTTGGTATTCCCAGCAAAAGCTAGAAAACCGAAATTAACTTTTCACTGTTGCTGACATGCAGCAAAACGAAACGCCAGCACTCTATGCAGAGTCTCCTTACCTGAACAGTCTCCTCCCCCTAATCAGTGTGCGCTTGTAGAACAAGAGGGAGTGTTAGGTTTCTTTCAGTTGTTCATGTACGTCCTAGTTACATGCTGTACTTCTCTTCAGGTGGATACTGTCTGGTGAGGAATGGCGGAGGGAGGCTTTGACCCTTGTGAGTGCATCTGCACGCAGGAGTACGCAATGAGGCGTCTCATCAATTTGGTAAGCGACACAGCTTGGAGGTTTTCTAAATCGCCTCTAATTTAAGTTGAAGAGACGGCGTGTAGACATGTCAAAATATTCAAAGTATGTGGTGTGAAGTGATAACATCATCAGCTGAAGTTTAAAAGGAAACGAAGATCAACTTGCAAGTAAATTCAAGCCTTAAAGAGATGTGGGGAGAAGGAAATGCAAAGCTACATCCTGGTTCCTGCTCAGTGTTTGTCTTGACAGCCTGTCTGCTCTGCCATGCAAAGACAGTTTTATTGCCCTCAGGCTTGTATTGTGCTTGGAAATATACTTTGGCTCTTCTTATTTCAAAATATAACATTTGTTGTTGTGAGTTTCCCAGTTTCATGAAGGACACAGTTCATAGTTACTGTATGGCAGCTTACAGTTGACCTAATTTACATTTGGTGCACAGGTGTAGCCTACATGGCAGAGAGCTGGATACACACTGGGCCATCTGATTTGCTTACAGTGTTAAAGGATGTTGTTCAGATGTCTAAATAATTCTTCGTCATAGCTATAGTGTTTATCTCAGGAACCAGGTAGAGCTCAGATGGTGGCTTTGTAACACTACTCACCACAATATCTCTGCTGGTTAATGAATCAAAGTTAGTAGGCAGTGTCATTTCCTCCCAGTTTGAGGGCAAAGAGTAAATCATTTTGTTCTTCTGTAATTTTCTTCCAGCTGAGGCAATCTCAGTCCTACTGCACAGACACAGAGTGCCCTCAGGAACGTATGTATGAACTTCTCTCAGTGTAGCTCACATTTTGTAAGTGTTTGAACGCACGATAGGACTCAAATGTGTGTCTGAATAAGAAGTATTTTATTTTATTTTATTGTTTTTCTTCAGTGCCAGGTCCCAGTGGGTCAGTGGGCGGGGGAGGTGACCTGACCCTCCCCATGGTTCTGATGGGATGGGCGGTGTTAGCCCTGGTCCTGTTTTTGCTGCGCCCATCCAGTCTCAGGGGAACCCATCATTCTGGCAAGCCCAGTGGACCCCGCAACGTGAGTGCAGATCACACTCATTTTACATAACAAATATATCTGAAATGTAATGTGCAAAAGTCTTGAACCGCCACTCATTTCTTTATATTTGCTAGGAAAATTAGAAAGGTGCAGCAGGTGCAGGACAAGACTTTGAGATGATGTTCATCTGCCGGAGACGTGTTTTTAGGCCTGACACTTCCTGACATGTTATCTTTTGCATTTTGTATAGATTCAACTAAAGAAATGGGGAAAATGTTTTTGCAAAAGACAAAGTGACAAAGGTCTTTGCTAGGTTACCTGTTATGTGTATGCACAAAACTAGTTAATGCCTTGCATTAACTACCTGCAAAGTCTGGCTTTTTGAAAACAAAATATAAAGACATGAGGTGTGGCTCAAGACTTTTGCACAGTACTGGAGTTTTTTGTTTTTTTTTCCCTTTTGCCTCCACCTGAACAGTCCAGATACCACGTGCACATTAAATAAAAAGGAAGGTGTTTTATCAGGGAAACATATTTCCTTGAATCTAATAATGCAACGTTTGATTGCTATGAATGAAAGAGAGCTATTATCACAGATGATTAAATAGAAAAGCCTATTTGGTTGTTAATACGCTGTATTCTGCTTCAGGAAATTCGTGGTAAAAATATTACTGAAAAAGGTTTTACATCTGGTGTGTACTGCAGAGTTAGTAGGGCTAACAGCTGCTGCATGAACTTATGTTTAAAAAAAACATAGACCAGTGTTTATGTAGCAATCAGCCTAAAAACACAGGACCTTTAGTCATTGCGATAAGAGACTTGGGGAAGCACGGAGGAAAATCTGCGTCATCTGAAATAAAAAAAGGTTTTGTTGTAATGAGGTCAGGGGATTAGACAAACCTGATACCTCTCTGACAAGGCACATGTCTTTTATAACAAAAGGCTGCAACATAAAACCAACCAAAATCTCAGAGTAAAACTAACATAAAGTCGCTTCCAAACAAGTTTTTCTGCCACTAAACATTTGATTTTTGAATTTCTCTCTGCCTGCTTTCCTGTCCTTTTCACTTCTGTCAATAAACATTACTAATAGTAATAATAAATGTAATTCTTGGGAATGTTGTTGTCATAGCTCTGTTGATTTTTATAACTGTGTGTATTATTTGAGTTTTAGACAAGTAACATTATTTCCCAATGCAAAAAACGCAGTTGCTGTATTTCAAAGCGGATAGGTTAATATTTGCAAAGATGACTAATTCTCTCCCTGAATAGAAACCAGGAACCTAATATTTATTCTGTGATGTCCTTCACAGACCAAACTGGAGCTTTATTTTAAGGACAACATATTATGACATTGTGGTTATTATGGTTTTGGGGGGTTCTCCTTCCCTTTTATGTGTATGTGACAAAAATCCGCAGAGTTGCAAAGCTCAACTCTAACAGCAAGACTTTCCTATAATCTAATTTTTTATTTTAAAAAGAGGAAAGAATAGCATTTCTGCTATACTTGAGTCTACAAAAAGTGACTATAATGAGCAGCTGCCTCACAAACATTTTTATTTACTATCTATAGCGTCTTGTCCCATCTCTAATGCTAAAATGTCTCAGCAGGTCTGCTAAATCTTCAAAGACTATGTGCTGATTTACAAGACTTGGTGGATTACTTTTGTTCTTGATGCCACTGTCGCCATTAGCTTTATATGGCTAATGAGAAACTGCAGAAACTTCAGACCTTATCTTTGAAATACTAGGAGGAGGGTGTGTGTGTGTCAGTGTGTTTGCATGTTGCCTTTTGTGTTGTGAAGTGTAGCCTCATCATAACCAACTGCTTTATTAGCAATACAGGAAATGTAAATGGTCAGGATCCAATAATGTTTTTTTAATTTTTATGATAGCAGGTTTACTTGTGACATGTGGGCATGTGCAGATCATCATTTCATTTAAAGCTACAGGTACAGAAACGGCTTATTTGAAGTGGGCTAAATTGAGGGGTATGTGGCCATGTCTGTTAGCTGAAACTTCAGCTCCAAACACTGCGAAGTTTTCCCCAAAGGATCGTGGTTCAAACCTTTGTAAGGGACACTTTTTAAGCCTTTAAAAATCAGTAAAATATTTATAGACATTTTTGGATTTGACTGGTAATTCCATGCTAGGAGTTTTTAAATCCCAGTGATCTTTGAAAATACATTCACAAAAAGCCACTTACAGCTGCTCCCTTATTTACAAGGATTTGCAACAGGTGCAGGAAAACAAAAAAACAAAATATAGCTAACTCTAAGAGTGGCCAAGTGTGGTACATTCTTAAAAAGAATAAATGCTCTGACAAGCCCAGCAATGCCAAAATACATGAAAGACCACAGATGAAGTAAAATGGATGATGACAGAAACTCTTCCTTGGCTAAGAAAAACAGCTTCACATCATCTAACCAAGTCAAGAGCACTCAAGTAGGTAGACTTGTCATCGTCTACAATGACCTTGGCAAAGATGTCTTCCAGAATGGAAATACAGAGGATTCAAAACTATGTGCAAACCACTGGTTACTCTGAAGGACAAGAAAGTCAGATTAGATTTTTGCAGACAACATCTAAAAGAGTTCTTTGGAAGATTAAACCCAGATTAACTTGTACCAGAATGATGGGAAAGGAAATGCTGCAAGCCTGCACACTATCTGTGAGGCAAAACCAAAAAAAAAGGTTAAAAACATTGTCTTTTTTCATGTATTTATACCCAAAATTATTATTTATTTATTATTTATTTATTTATTTATTTCTGGGTTTGTTTTGTTTTTTGCAGAGTGATGGAAGAGAGCCCCCAGCACCACCTATCGACTAGCAGTGGAGCCAAACAAACAGCAAATGTACACCTCCTCTGACTGGAGTTGCACAGTAGCTGCAACCAGGACAGCACCATCTGTCTTTCTGTCAACATTCCCTCACATATCTTTTTCTTTCTTCTTCTGATGCTGCCACAGACTTGTCTTTGATTTCTTATTACTAGAGTCCAACTAATCAACGAGGCCAGCACAACTATGATATTTAAAGGGGACCTATTATAGCTCATGTCCAGCTCCAAAACTTATTTTACTCAATTACAATGGCATGATTTAGAGTTTGAAATGATCCTTTTTTAGGTTATACTTGTCCTGGTGCAGCTCCTTAGCTGGAGAGGTGTTAGCCCCTCCCTCTTTAAGTCAGCTTCATTCTTATTCGCTGCCATGCGCAGAATTTGAAATGAAGGTGGGTGTAGCTTCTATGCTTACAGTCAGAGCTACAAGCCTGATATCAATTAAGGATTACTGCTCTCACTGACATCACAAAGGAGGAAGAGTAGAAAAAAACTGAGCAACTTTGACCGTATTTAGTATGAGCATCCACCCATGTAAAAGCATATATGTGACACACATGGGGAAAATGGTGAAAAGCAAAATATGTTCTCTTAAAAACAGTTGCATTTCTCAATTTAAAAGATTTTATCCAGAGGAATGTGATAATAGCTGAACACAATCACATAAAAAATATAAAACTTGGTACGACACATGGCTTTTCATAGCAGAAGTACACACTCAACTACCAAACAGCTGTGGCTTAAAAATATATATCAGTTGGATTTGCTTAAATGAGCAATCGCAGGCATCAGAGCTGGTCCCTGATCCCAGCTCTGATGCCTGCGGATCTGCAGAGACTCGGATGCAAATCTATGATGAAGGAATGTGTCACATAATCGGGGAAGAAGGGAGGGGGCAGTAGTAAAGAGTTCCTGTTGAATCGTTAATTTGTTTTTCCGGTGCTTGAAATAACAAAGGGTGGAGGGTCCTTCAGTCTCTCTCAAACATTCCACACTTCTTACTTTATGAAGATAAAACTCTATACGGTGCCAGTAACCATGACATTTTGTATCATGTTTTAGTTTCATATTTAACCCTGCAGAATTTTTTTGATAAGGTTATAGTCTCATTACAGTAACACAACATAGGATTCTTAATGCAGTGAGTAAGTCTAGTGTGTTTACATTCAGGCCTTGGTGAGATACTCATCTGACTCAAGCAGGTAGTCGGCTCTGCTATATTGACTGTAAGGCTGTCCCTTTAAATAAGGTGGTGCAGCAGCACGTTTGAAGGACAAAATTGAAGTTGATCTGTAAAATGTGAGCAAAATATTTGATGCACACACCAGAGAAAACTATTATTCACCTCCAGTAATACAGAGATGCTTAGCCTCATTTGACAAAATGAAACTATCTGCAGTTATATCATCGTATGTTAGGATGATTGTGTGTATTATTGTGCTTTAAAAGAAAGTTGTACTAGTACCCAAAATAATACATTATTAGCACTTTTTTGATTCCTTTTGGAGGTCTTGTGTACAGATTAAGCTTTCTAAAAGATGAACGCAATCAAAGTTTCTGCTTCACAACTTCAGTACCACGGTTTGTCAGTGGAAATTAATGAAACGTGCCAATGTGAGTTTTTAGTTTCGAATTATTTGTGTTGAAATGGCAATACTGAGGGGTCCTTTTATGATTTTCACTTTATTTGGGAATGATTTTTCATTTTCCACATTTTAATTGGGAACATTACCGATACTGGAGCCTTACCATAAATAAATATATAGCTCCCTCCTATTGTATTGACCCACACAAAGCAACAAAACCATTGAACCCACATGTTTTCAGAACCATCAGCTGAGTGAGTCTGTTTGTGTTTTGTGAACATCTGTATAGTGTGTGGTTATTAAAGTGTATATGAGCCTTGGGATATATCCCAGGGTGTCTGTGATACCAGAAATTACATGCATTAATCTTAAAATGGAAGAGTATTTGTTGAATGCATGGAGGGAGTTTTAAACACATCTGAATCTGGCTGCTCTTCATTATCAGCGAAAGTCCTCTGAATTATGTTGTACTATGGCTTTCTAGGGTTGTTCTGCGAGGTCACGGGGAAGAGCTGAAAGATTGAAAATGCTGGGTCAATTGTATGGTATCAATGGGGAAGCCATGAGACTATTGAGATGATTGGTGGCATCAAGTAGACCTCAATTTACACTGTTACTGTTTAAGAGTAAAAGGGCTTCAACTATGCACTTTTCCTACAACAAAACAGAAAATAAAAAGACTTATGTCTGAAGCTTGGCTGTGTTTTTGTGTGAAGCTGGCACATTTCCTTCTCATCAGATTTATAATTGATATATGCTTCCAGCCCGAGTAAGAATGTAACACTTACACTTTTAAACATTTGATTATCAGGTGTAGTTGGTGACTCTGAGTATTCAACAAAACCACTGATGGTCTTTCTGTTGTAGCATCAAAGCTACAACAGAATGGCTGAAAAAGAAAAGAATCAAGGTGTTGCAGTGACCCAGTCTAGACCTCAACCTGACTGAAATGCAGTGAAGGGACCTCAAGAGAGCTGTGCATAAACAAATGCCTGTAAAATCTCAGTGACTCAAGCTATACTGTAATAAACAGTGGGCCAAAATTTCTCAACAGTGATATGAGGGACTGATTAAATCATATAGAAAACCACTTCTTCCAGTTACTGCTGCTAAAAGTGATTCTTTAGTTTTTCACAGGACTGCATATTTGTATGTGTTTGTCATCCTTAAAGATTAGGCTCTCTCTAGTTAAGGTATTTTCAAAATAAATTTTAACAATGTTAACCGTAGCTCAGGGGGTTGGAAATCGCATCTGTAACCGGAAGGTCGCCGGTTTGATCCCTGGGCTCTCTGTCCTGGTCGTTGTGTCCTTGGGCAAGACACTTTACCCTACCACCTACTGGTGTTGGCCAGAGGGGCCGATGGCGCGATATGGCAGCCTCGCTTCTGTCAGTCTGCCCCAGAGCAGCTGTGGCTACAACTGTAGCTGCCTCCACCAGTGTATGAATGTGAGAGTGAATGAATAGTGGTATTGTAAAGCGCTTTGGGTGCCTTGAAAAGGGCTATATAAATCCAATCCATTATTATTTATGTGATTACTCCTCTTGATAATTAAATCACTTATTCAAAAAAAAAGTGGTCCTTATTAATATCAATTTGAGGCTAGACTGGGTAAATAAAGTAGATAACTTCTGACGTTACAGTATTTTTTCACATAAAATTCCTTCATTGTGTTTTTGCTATATAGCCCTCTGGTTGTGTGCAACCCCCCTTCCCTTACATGTAGTGTTCTGGTCACAAGTGACCAGCCAGTTTTAACTGCTCTTAAATTAACATAAGAAACATTTTTCACCACCAGATTCAGTTCAGTGGGTGGGTCAGTGGGTCGTTCAGTGGTCCTTCACTTGGCCATTCAGTGAGGTATTCAGGGGGTCAGAGGCCAAAGGGGCGTGAGGGGTGGATTCCCATTAATTTCCTAAAAAAACTCAAAATTCAACGAAAGAGGTGCTCATCACTTTTAGATGTTCAAGTGCATCGTGTGGAGGATGCCACAAGTCCTCAAGGAAATCGGATGTAAAACACAATAGTTATGAGTTTTTACATTTGTAAATCGGTCAGATTTGACCTGAACACGGCAGGAAGGTTTTAAATAGTCTATCTCTAATTAGCCTTCTTGTTACCTTTAAATAAACTTTGGACTATAAAACTATGAATCATGTCTCCCAAGCACTGAACACAATAGTTTAGACATTTTAATAATTAAATAAACAAACATATTCCTTCCGAAACAAGTCTTGTCCTAAGTCTTCTAAGCATGCGCAGTGCTAAAACGGAACTGTCCGTCTGTTTCCCTGGGTTACCATCAACAACTTCGCTAGCCCACAGTATCTTCAGTATGCTAGCGTGGCTTTAGGGTCTCGTGTATCATTATACATCGGCATAAAAATATGTATAGAATAGGTGATTAAGCTTGAAGAGCAGCACGGGAGGTTAATAACGTGTTTAGAGGCTAATTAGCTCGAGCGAATGAACCCCAGCTAGCATTTTAGGGAGCTGTTTACAGCTTTAGGATGACCGAGCAGGAGTACGGGACTCTTGCTTATTCAAAAAGTCCGAAAACATCTAAAAGAACAACATTTCAGGTAAGGACCGTTTCTAAACAAAATAAGAAATGAGCGGCTCAGTTAAACCTGATTATTAAAGGAGAATCATGTTAACCTGAAATTATGTCGCTTTAGGATGAACTCCAGGCTGCTGTCTCTGCCAGGGCGACCAAAGCCAAGACAGATCAGTACACCTACTCTGATGACTTCGAAGAAGATGAAGATGGTATAACGAAAAAGAGTTATTATATCTAAAAAGGACTCTAAGTGAATGGAGTAGTTCATTTGTTACAGAGGGATAGTAGCGAAGGTTAAAGGGAAGGCTTAAAAGATGGACGTAAGACCTGCTGTGATGCATGGTTTAGAGAGCGTTATACTGAAAAATAGACTGGAAGTGGAGCTGGAGGTGGCAGAGCTGGAGATGTTGGGATTTTCAATGGGAGCGACTGAGATTGACAGCTTGGGTTAGGCTGTCAGGAGACAAAGCTAGAGAGAAGGTTGAGATGGTTTGAAGACATGCACAGGAGGGATAGTGGATGCTGCAGGTAGAGCTGCCTAGATGTAAGTGAAGGAGGACATGTAGAGGGTTGGTGTGACAGAAAGGGATGCTAGGAGTAGGGTGGGAGGGAAGAAGATGATTGATTAAAAACAACAACAACAACAGTGTGTGTGTTGACAGTTTATCTTTTTGTTTTTCAGATTTTTTAAACAGACTCCTTAAATTAAGAAAAAAGAAGACAGATCCTCTCAAAGCTGGGAAGAATAAAGCCAAAATCATTAACAACTTTGACCTCTCAGATGATGAAGACAAACACAGGAGGACAAAGAAAGTTTCATTCCTGAAAACAAAAAGAATCAGCTCTCCCTCCAACAGCACCACTGCGTCAGAGTCACAAGAAAAAAACGAGCCCCTAGACTCACACACGGCTGCACGTGATAGTTCTAATGGGTCAGCATCTTCACAACGCTCCACAGATGACGCACAGTTTAAAAATGCTCGTGTGGATTCAGCTGATCCTCAGATCACAAGAGAAAGCTCAAGTAAATCTCTGTCATACCAAACATCAGACGATACTCTCCTGGACATGCCTTTACCGTTACCATCTGACAGCAGCGTGGTGGAAACTCCAGGGCCAGAGCAAAAGAGCGGCTCTGCTGCTGAAGAAAGCTCACAGACTTCACAGTTATCAACATGTGACCTGAACCACACAGCTTCAGCAGGTCTGTTTAGTTTAATACACAATACTGCTATCAGGAATCAGTGCAGATTTTACATTTAGATTTACACCTGTCACCATTCAGATAGTGTTTCAGAGAGGGAGCCACCAAGACCTAAACCCCGGCAAAGGACCCTAAGATTGAGCTTTCACACTTCAGAGAAGCCAGCTGAAGACTTTCAGGATCTCAGCAGGCCTCAGACTTCTTCTGTATCAATTCCTCTCTCAACTGATACATCTGGCACCATAGCTGTAAGGAGCTGCAGTCCAGCTGTGCTTTGTTAATCAGTGTTTTAAGCTGCAAACTAAAATGAAACTTTTCATAATCAGAGGATGTTTGTGATGTTGTTTCATCATAGTGGACAGAAGGAGACCACACAGTTTCACCCTCTTCAAATAAGAGTGCACGGTCTGCACTCCTCACAAAGTCCACTGTTGATTCTGGATCGAAAGGTAATGATCATAAAAAAAATCTTCAAAACCTTTTTTTCTTTTTATTCAGGACATTTAAAAAAGGGCAACTACAGATAATATGGTGTGACGTTAGCAAATCGTAAGGAAGACGAGAATAAAAATACTTTTATATTTATAGGTATTGGAGTTTGCATGCAATTATTGATTAGTTATGCACTGACTTGGGCAGCAAAATTTAACACAAAAAATATTCATTAAAATCTGGACTTTAGAAAAATGTAGAAAAATGTGTTGTTTAAATATATATATATATATATATATATATATATATTTTTTAAACCTACTGTGGGAGAAAAATCAATCACTCCACATTATAATAATCATTAAAAAGTCAAAAGAAAATAACCAATATTTTTGCTACATGTCTAATTAATGCTCTTAATATTTGTTTTATTGTTTTAGATGGCTTTATTTCTGATGACAGCAAAGAGCAGGAGAGGAACTACTCCACATCATTTGAAGAATTTACTGTAAGACATATTCTGCACTGTGTAACGTCGCTGTGAAGTTTAGTTTTTTTTAATGAATCACAGCTTATTCTGAGGAGAGCTCCAGCTTCAGTTTGTGTGGGTTTTCAGTCACTCGGCTGATGGTAGTCTTAAGCGCTTGAGTTGAGGCAACAGGACTGTTTTGTAGGTTTGTGAAGACGTTACACATGTCATCTAAGAGGCTTCTTATGTTCTAAAAACTGATGGAGAATTCTGTGTATTTAACCTATAGCGAGGTCGTCCTCTTGGAGGTGGTCCTGAGAGTTGTTGACCCACCTTGTAATTATTAAAGGTCACATGAGGGTCTGAAGGTATGAATCAAGGCATGCGTCATTACGCTGCATTCCAGATTGAACACATAGAAGAAGCCTTGTGGATGAGAGGTCAAACATCTTCACGAACCAAAATCAAGTCCGGTTGCTTCCATTTCAAGAGTCTAAGAGCTCAGTCTGTGCATTGTTGTCTTCCAGGGATGCTCAGGAGATCCCTCAGCTCATCTCTCTCATGTCTCTGAGGAATCTGTTGAAGCAAGGTTGGTAATCAAGCTGCAGTAGCAGAGCTCTATGTGTGAAGCAGACCTGATCACTTAGCTGGCCTTTCTGTTGTTGTTTTGTTTAAATTAGGACTTTGAGTTCTCACTCTAAGACCACTCCAAGATCTCAGAGTGCATGCTCCAGGAAAGTGGAGTCCAAGTATTTGGGGTCTCTCAAAGTTCTGGACCGTAAAGTCTCTTTACAAGAGTCTCAGCCACAAGAAGCAGATTCCCTCCGAGCTGCCATTTATCAGGTCGGTGTGGTTCTGAGGGTGTTGTCTTTTCTAGTTTTTTTTACATTGTCAGCCATGCAGTGGAGAAAAGCACTGTGACGTACCCTTATATCTACAGTTAAAAGTCTGTGTGTAAAAGACAATGAAAACCTTACTCAGCACTGCTCCGAAGAACCATGCAGCTAAATATAGAGTAGCAGTGGTTTTACTAATCTAAATTAAAAGAGTGTTTCGTAATCGTGTGAGTTGTTGGGAGAAAACAATGTACTGCACATTGAACATTTAGATTTGAATGAATGTGTGTATGTGTTAAGCGGGCCTCAGAGTATCAAAAGCACATTCTCAGTCCAGTAAAATCCACCCTCACTTTTACAAGGAATGGCTCAAAAAGAAGAAGGAAAAGTCGAGGGAGAACATGCAACTGAAGAAGAAAGAGGCCATGTTGAAAGAAAAAAAGGAAAAGGTGAGTCATCTGTGTTTTAGACAAACTACAGAGCACCTTACAAGCTTTAAAGATTACATGGATGCTCTTCAATTTTTTTCAAAAAACAAACAGGAAGAGGAGGCTAAAAAAGAAGATGCTGTTGCGTTCTATGAGGCTTGGAAGAAAAAGAAGGCAGAAAGCCTCAAATCTAAGGCCAAAGAGAAGGAAGCTGTGATTAGAAAAGAACAAAAAGCAGCTGAGGAGAAAGAAGAAAAAAGGCAGACTGCTCAACAGGTAAAAGCATACATCACTCTGACACCTATAATGAGATTGCTTGTGTGTATCCGTGAGGTTAATTTGGTATTTTAATAACAATTAAAGGTGTTTGAGAAATGGAAACGTGAGCATGATCATCTGCTAAAAGAGAATTACAGAAAACAAAAGGAGGCTGAAAATAAATTGAAGCTTAAAAACAAAGAACAGGAGGAGGTGAGAAAAAGGGACAGCAGGTCTGCCTTTTCTAACTGGTGAGTGGAAATCATTCATTATTAATTTGTCCCATTTATTTAAAGGTGATGAAAAGAGATATCTCTTTTTTTAAGGCACTGAGAATTCATTTTTTGCAGAATGGTCTGAACAACAGATCCAAAAGATGACTGAGCTTTGCTTTTAGTGGTGGTAATACATAGATTTAAATGTGCATATATGTTTAATAAAACTTGTAACAGCTGTGGTGCCGGGTTGAAAAATATCGCCCACCAGATGGCAGTCAAAGCTCAGATCTTCATCCACTGTTTATTTCTAAAAACCTCACAGAAAAGTCATGTATACTGATTTTTTAATCCTCTTTTTAAACATGATTAAGGTGTGAAAAGAAGAAAGAAGTTATCGATGACAAATTCACGTCAGAGCGCAAAGAAATCAAAAATAAAGCGGAGGAGGAGAAATACATGAAGGAAGAAAGAGATAAAATGGCTTTAGAGGTGTATGAAAACTGGCTGGTAAGTAGAATTATTAATGATTATTACCAGCATCTGAGGTGCTGCTCGCCGCATCCTTTTTTGTTCATGAGACAGATGGTCTCTCGCTTAGCAGTCGCGACCAGGCTCCAGTGTGAACTCTTCTTTTGTGACTACTTAGATGGCACTGACAGATTTCACTGCTCAGGAGGGGAAAATCTGAACGTTCAACCAACTGTTTCAGCATATCTTTAATGAAAATGTTGTGAATTTCTTCTGATTTAATGCTTTTACCTCATTCTGTTTCTGAGAATTTTTTCTGAAAGTTTTTAAAATAAAAAAAGTGTGATAGCTTAATAAGATCAGAACCTTACGTTATAAAGATTGTAGATTAAATCAGCATCTAAATATATTTTTTGTTTGTGTAACTTTTTGGCCAAATGAGCCTGCATTTTACACATAAAGCTCAAATTAAATATGTACAGTACTGTGCAAAACTGTTGATCCATCCCTCATTTGTTTATATTTTGCTTCCAAGGAGCCAGACTTGGCGTTGAGTGATAAATCTCCAGGCTTTCTGAAGGTCTGCTGGACATTTTTGAACTCATTTTTAGAGGATTTCTTTGTTTTTTCTTGTGGATCACCATGCAGTAATAAAAGTATTCGTATGAAATATTGACTTTCAAGCTTGTTGGTATTGCACCAGGTATGGCTCAAGACTTTTGCCCAGTATTGTATATCCAGCCTTACTCCCTCTTTGATTAATCATTTCCTGACCTCGGAGTTTTTTGTTGTGTTGCCTTGGATGTGCGTGACTCGTAGCGCAGTAACTCTCTCCATTTCATAGAGCTTTCACAGCATGACCACAGTTATGAAATTGTACACGTGTCTTGAGATCATAATGGGCGTGATCTTTGACTCAGAGCTTTGTTTTGTCTGCCTGAAGTCCATCTTCCCCCTCGATGTTCAGACTAATTTATAGAGACGAGATCACATCATCCCTGTCAGTACCCGTTACATACATAATTGATTTGAACTTTTATTAAGTTAAATATGAGGTTCACACCACTGTCCCACGGTCTTCTTAATTTCTGGTTGTATAAGGCGTTGTTATCAGGTGTACAAATCTAGTATTTTTGAATATATTGTATGTGTGAGCAGTCCTTGTCCTTGTGGCTAGTGTCACAGATTTTCTTGTTGTTCTTTAGGCAAGAAAAGATCTAGAGCAGAAGAGACGCAGAGAAGAGAGACGGATACAAGAGATACTCGGAGACAGCCCACCTCCACCATGGAGCCCCCCAAATAAAACCATACCGTTTCGAAGATGACGAATAAAATGTAACATAACACCCGTGTAATGTCTGTTGGTGCTATGTTACATGTTTTTGCAAATGCAAGTTTGTAATGTATGTTGTTCTCTGATAGCTACTTTCATATGATTTTGTATTAGACAGCAGATCTAGTGTGTGTTTATATTTTTATATGTTTTCTAACTCAGATGTTTGCAAAATTGGAAACAGTTGTGGGACAGAATGATTTTGTGATATGTCAAGGAAAAATTCATGTATTTAATTTTTTAAAATTGTATTTGATTATTTTTATAAATATGTTTATGCTTTAGCATGTAATAATAATAATAATAATGATGATAATAATAATGAATGTATTTAAAGGCCCTTTACAGGCACTCAAGGACACGTTACACCCAATTAAATATCATATTATGATTGAAATTACAGTTGAAAAACAACTTAGAATTAAAAGTTAAGATAAAATTTTCAATAAAACAACAGACAATTAGGGCTTAACATGAGAATGTGCAGTAAAGCAGTTTAACATTGTTGTTGTTGTTTTTGCTGATTCCCTTTTAATGTTTATTTTTGTCTTCTGGTTAAGAAGAACTCACAAACCTGCAAATGATTTATTTATTTTTTGTATTGTAAGGGCATTTCAGTAATTACTTAATAACTTCTCACCCACAGTTATGTTTATAAGTATTTGGAGGAAGACAGGTTTTTGTATTTTGCCTCTGTACACCACCACAGTAGATTTTGAGGTGCAGACTTCCTGTTTTAATTCTGGGGATTTAACTAAATATTGAATAATTGTTTTACACAGGCTCCTATTTTCACAGCTCAAATGGAATTAGAGAATTAACTGACATGTAGGAGGCCCAAAATGCAGAGTCATCGCCCAGATGTGCCCAGAGATCACGGTGACTGTTGTGGAGGTCAATGGGTCCCGTTAATTCTCATTCATAATACCATTATCTAAAAAGCTGATATGAGGATAGTCGGACAGGATTAATTGTTAGAGATCTGGTAAAGCTTTAACTAGCAGCAGTTGGTCATAGGCTGTATTGATATGCTCACCTTTGAGATTCAAATACAGCATCTCAGAAATGCTTCAAGCTTCTTTCATTTATTTGACAGAATTCTAAACATGGTTTAAAAAAACAACTTTAAATTGGTTGCTTTCCTGGCATGGAGTTGACTTTTAACTGTAGTTCACAAATTTTCAACAGGGTTGAGGTTAGGGGGTTGATATTCCAGCAGTTCTTAATGGCAGGCTTGATTCTTAGTGGTCTCTGGGTTGTTGCTGAACACGTTTGAATAATTTGTACAATTATTTGAACTAATCACCCTGGAATCTGCAGTTGTTTAGAAGTGGCTCTAAGAGACCTTCCTGACTATGAAGCTATGATTCTCCCTTTTAGATCTCCACTGAGTTCCATGGAGCTTTGCATTGTTCTGAGAATTGGTCAGTCCAATATTTGCTGTCTTAAGTCATGAAAGATGGATACTATACAATTATTTCATCTCGGAAAAAGAACAATTACCATGACATTCATGTCCATGATGACTGTAAACTTCTAACCACAGCTCTCTATATAACGGTGTAAAATGCTTTTACTTTGAAGGTATGATGCCGGAAGTCTGACCAGTAAATAAATAGTGGTTTCTCCGAAGAAGCGCTTCACTTTAGGTTGAGGTCCAGGTGAGGAAAGTTGTTGCAGAGATTTCATTGGTGTGGTTTTTATACGTCGAGCTCTGGTTTGCTTTCATTTATCGTGTGCAACGGAACCGTGGCCGTGGGTTTGACGCCGGGACAGGACACATTTAGCGGAAGAGCTAACACAGTCTGCGCATTACTGAAGTTCAGAGACTGTCGAGCTGGCAGAGGTAACGAACCGTTAGCTAACCCGCTGACAACAAACACTTACCCACTCATTCATTTTCGTGTTTAGTTCTCCCTGTTTGAAGGAACAGAACTTAAAGTAGCTTCATCGTTCTCCTGTCGATGTGCCACATCAACGCGGGGCAGCTAACGCGAACTAAGTGAAAGGCATCACCGATAAAGGGCTCATTTTTCATCTCTGCTTGACGTGGCTGAGCTGCAATAAAAGGCTCTTTATATTCCACCAGGCTACAACTGTGCACCTGGCAACTATTACCGCGGCACCACCGAGGAGGTGAAGTACTCCCGAGGAGGATTTTAGACAGAAAATCTAATTATTTGGGAGGAGCCACTCCCCTCTGAGTGTAACAGGGAATCAGCTTACCTGACTTGTAAAGTTGAGGCATCAGCAAAGCAATTATTTTCCTGTGACGGAACTAGTCATTACTGTAATTTTCTGTTATTTTGATAGTTGGATGGTAGCGTTTTACTTGCTTCTTATGCACTAATATTCCAGTCATCATCTGCAGAGAAACTGGATCTATAACGTTTAAACTATTAGAAATATGTTTGAGATGCTGTTAAAATGTTTTGTCCTCGACTATTTGAGCCACAGTTTTTTCATGTTTTTTCATATACATACCGACTTTCATGATAGCAAATTCATTTTTAAAAAAAGATTTTGTTGACAAAGATTGTATTGTTATGAAGCTGAAATTATGAGTGAGATCATCGATTACTACTTACTCTTCATCTTCAAATCCTTATAAATTGTTTTTTTTAAGTGATTTGGAGCAAAAACTGTCCAGGACTCCTTGGGACCCCCTCCTCTTATTTTCTTATCTGGCAAACCCACTGATAAGCTGTTGGCAAGCACTGAAATGTGTACAAATAAGGCTTGCTTGATGGGTACTTTATCTCTTTATTTGCAGGGAAGTGTGTTCACTTGATAACTTTATAGCTCTGTGTTGTGTCCTCCCCAGATGTTTCAAATAAAGAGGATCTGTTGCATTGGTGCGGGTTACGTAGGAGGCCCAACATGCAGCGTCATCGCCCAGATGTGCCCGGAAATCACAGTGACTGTTGTGGACGTCAATGAGTCCCGAATCAAGGCCTGGAATTCTGACACTCTGCCCATTTATGAGGTAGCGTGCCATTATTTAAAAAAAACAAAAAACGTGGCGCTGAGGATAGTAGGACAAGATTAATTATTAGAGATCTGGTTAAACTTTAACAAGCAGGAGTAGGTCATAGGCTATTATCCTGATATGTGCAGCTTGAGATTAATATTCAGCATCTCAGAAAAGCAGTAAAGTGTTCAGATTCATTAAAGTGTTAAAGGAGTAGGTGTAGCCAGGCAACAGTTCCAGGCAAATGTTTTTGTTAAACATTGCTCCACCTCATGGACAAAATGAAACCTAAATTACTTCCAGACTGTGTTGCAACTTTTCTACGTCAACTCTGACCACGGTGTATTGCATCATCGTGAGTAGTTTAAGGTTAGTCAGTGGTCACTGTGAGCTGGTGTTACACTCTTCACGTTTATTTTTCCTGCTGTCTTACTAACACGGCCTCTCACTTCCTCCCATTTCAGCCTGGACTGAAGGAGGTGGTTGAATCATGCAGAGGAAGAAATTTGTTTTTTTCCACAGACATAGACTCGGCTATCAGGGACGCAGACCTCGTCTTTATCTCTGTGAGTCCATCATTTAGCTCCACACACACACAGCCCTAGAGCCCGACTGATCCTGGATATTCGGTGGTTGAATATAAGTGAAAGATGTCTGTCAGTCTTCAGTTGTATTTAAAAGAGGAGATTGTGGCCTTATTATTTAACTTCTCAGCAATGCATGTAACATGCTATGCAGAACACGTTCTGCTCAGCTGTGATGTGTAACGGCTCTGTAATGACACAGTTTCTAATTTACTCCACTTTTCTCCTTTCTGCATTAAGTTTCTATCTTGTTCCAAATATACAGTTCAACACAGGCCGATAATGATCGACCAAAATTTCATTAGGGTTCTCCATCACACACTGGTTTTGCTTGTTTGGCCCACTGACATAATTAAACTGCACCTCTCCTTGCACTCCTCCAGGTGAACACCCCAACAAAGACTTACGGGATGGGGAAAGGTCGCGCGGCTGACCTGAAGTTCATCGAGGCGTGCGCCCGGCGCATTGTCGAGATGTCCGACGGCTACAAGATTGTCACGGAGAAGAGTACGGTGCCAGTGCGCGCCGCCGAGAGCATTAGACGGATATTTGACGCCAACACCAAACCCAGCCTCAACCTGCAAGTGCGTACCGTCACGTGAACAAAGCTCTTCGACCTTTGCTGAGCTGCTTGTTTCTAAAGTTGTGCTGCCGCTTCAGGTGCTGTCCAACCCAGAGTTCCTCGCAGAAGGAACGGCGGTGCGGGATCTGAAGGAGCCAGATCGCGTCCTGATTGGTGGAGATGAGACTGCTGAAGGTCAAAAGGCGATCAGAGCGTTGTGTGCTGTATATGAGCACTGGGTCCCCAAGGAGCGCATCATCACCACCAACACGTGGTCATCTGAGCTCTCAAAGCTGGTGAGTGAACCTCTGGGTGAGGTCGACCACAGAGAACAGTTTCGTAAATCTGTTGGTTGTTGTAGCAATTTATTAATCGTTTGCAAAAAAAGGCCAGTTTTCTTGGAAAATATCTCATGATTAATATTTTTAATATTTAACAGTCAATAAAAAAATAAATTACCAGAACTACATAGATTAGATTTGTGTTTATTAATCTGTTTCCAAATAGCTGCTCTTTATTTAATCCGTATATTGAAGGGTATATAAAACATGGAAAAAGGGTCAGATAGATGAACTCTGCTTGTAGAAAATAAACTGTGTAAATTATTAAGACATCAACTTTTACTTTGTGCTGTCAATTAATTTCTATGATCAATTTTAATCAGCTAGTTGTTACTCATTTAGCGAAAACGTTGTATTTAGTTATTTATTTCATGTGTGTGAGACGATCCACTCCACCCTACCTTTCAGTCTGTCTGTGAAGCGGTCCTTTTATGCAGGAAATTGAGAAGCGCTCTGGCTGAATGTTTCCATTCAGTAACATCTTCGCCCAGTGCCAGTGCTCTATAAAAGCTCTTGGAGTTAGTTGCTGGGCGTCTCTCCTGCCCTGAGTCACATTTGATTTCTGTGGCTTCTTGGTTTGCTTGTTGGATTAAATGTCCTTGAATGCACCATCTCTTGACTCGTGCATTCACTTGCACTACGGATCACATTGATTACACACACCACGGCTCAATTTAAGGTCTTTGTTCGTTTGATTAAAAAAAAGAAACTTTTTTTAATTGGATTTGTGAGTCTCCTTCTGTCATCGCTGAGTGGCCTGGTGTATGAGAAGTGTGTAAGTGATTATCACAGTACTTGTCCTTATCACAGAGCTAAATGAGTATTCCTGTGTGTCTGTGTGCAGGCAGCTAATGCATTCCTGGCACAGCGAATCAGCAGCATCAACAGTATCAGTGCTCTGTGCGAGGCCACTGGAGCCGACGTGGAGGAAGTGGCCAAGGCGATCGGCATGGACCAGAGAATAGGGAACAAGTTCCTTAAAGCCAGCGTAGGTGAGAGACAGTTTGTTTTCACATCCGCTGAACATGTACGAATGTTTCCCGTTCATCTCTTTGCTGTTTCTGATGCCTCGTACAGGTTTTGGTGGAAGCTGTTTCCAGAAGGATGTGCTGAATCTGGTGTATCTGTGCGAGGCCCTCAACCTGCCTGAGGTGGCTTCCTATTGGCAGCAGGTGAGAGCGACGCTCCTTTAGATGAGGAGGAGTAGTGGCTGAAGTCAGAGCCTCTCCCGAATGACTGAACACTTCGCCTTAGGCTAAGGGAGATTTTGTGGCAGAATCAATGCAGAACATTTTGGACATAACTGTTTATTTCCAATTAAACAACTTGTACATCTAGTACTGAGTAGTGACAGTAGCACTTATTTTATTTTTTATTTTTTTTTAAGGTGATCGACATGAATGAGTACCAAAGACGACGGTTTGCCTGCAGGATCATCGACTGTCTCTTCAACACTGTTACCGGCAAAAAGATCGCCCTGCTGGGCTTCTCCTTCAAAAAGGACACGGGTGACACGAGGTGGGTCTCCTCCTTTTATTTTGGCCATTTCTTTCCCGTTTTGATTCACTTGAAATGGCTTTGTTAAACTTTTGTTAATCATAAACCTCAGTGTATGAAAGGATAATGAAGAGCCCATTTCAAACCCTGGGTTTGCTCTTTGTACATACAAAACCTGCAGAGTCACTGCTGACTGCTTTAATGTGCATCTGTGAACTGTAACCTCGATTGGAGCTGACATCAAGGTGTTCGTGTGTGCACGTGTGTTGTGTAACTCCAGGGAGTCGTCCAGTATCTACATTTCTAAGTACCTGATGGATGAGGGCGCCAAGCTGTTCATCTATGACCCCAAAGTCCTTAAAGAGCAAATCATTCACGACCTCTCCCAGCCCAGCATCTCCGAGGACAACCCAGAGAGAGGTGTGTGTGCAGTTTGCAGGTTGCAGTTTCCAGTGCAGTACTGAAAAACTCATTGTGTAGTTTATTTTTGTCAACACCCTGATTTACTTCATGTCTGTATGAGTGAACCAGGTGGTTTAGTGTAAAGACACCTTCAGCTCACTTCAGTACCTGGCTGCAGACAGCTTAAATAAACATGATTGTAATGTGGTAATAAGTGAGCTATAGAGATGCTGCTCTGTGGGTGGTGTTACCTTTGTACAGGGCATTGCTAAGCAAACTGGTTACGGGCTCGAGCTTGACACTTTACATGCAGACAGGAGAGGTAATGATGTTATAATCAAACACCTTTAAGATCAAAACTATTAAATGACTACTCCTTTTCTGATAATAAAATCTGATAGGACTTGAAAATAAACCAGAATTCCAGGATGTATTTAATAAGATTTATAAAACTGTAACTCTGACTGTGCTGTAATAGTTCAAATTGTCTGTTGGGGAGAATTTAAGCCAACAAAGTATATCATGTCCTCTACACCCACCAATGTTATCTTTGGGTGGGTGTAAAGGACATTTTCAAGAGAACCTAAGATAGGATAGGGACACACCATGTCAGAAGCGACTAAACTTCTTAAACATCGCCTGTTTTTGCTCCATTCCTGCTCCATATTTTCATTCTTGAACTTTGGTACAATTCACATTTCAAAATGATCATTGTTTGGCTTTTACTGGGCCTTGGTGCAGAAAGTGTTTGTCTTTCCTCTCTTCTGATTGGCTGTCCCTCACAAACAGCAGGTGTGAAGAGCAGGCGGGCGTGGCAGCTGTAGCAGAGAGAACCACATTAGATATTGCTTCTCTTAGATGCCACTGAGATCTCAGTAACTTTCAGTTGCTTTATCAGTAACTAAAGCAGCACTCACTAACACTAATTTGTTTGAACTGTTCTTCATTTTTAGTGTCTGAGTTGGTGACTGTGACATCAGACCCTTATGAGGCTTGCCAGAGCGCTCATGCATTGGTCATCTGCACAGAGTGGGACATGTTTAAGGTCCCAGTTACATTTTACTACTACTTTTATTTTTTTTAAATGCTTCGTATTTGAGGAATATGTGAGAAAACATTTTAATAGTCATATCTGCTTAATCCCACCACAGGAACTGGACTACGATAAGATTTACAAGAACATGCTGAAGCCGGCTTTCATGTTTGATGGCCGCAGAGTGCTGGACCACCTTCACCCTCATCTCCAGAGCCTTGGCTTCCAGGTAAGATTTACAAAAAAAAAAAAGTTCCAACCCCTCCATCATGTAAAAATCCAAAGTATTTAAGTTTTGGTTTTTTTGGTTTGTTTGTTTTCCTGTCTGCAGATTGAGACCATCGGTAAAAAGGTGACACCAGCACGAATCCCCTACACTCCAGCAGCTGCTGGTCCTCGAATCACTGCCAGCGACGTTCCCACCAGCAAAGCAAAAGTCTAAAACTCATTTCTTCATCACTCAACATGCAGCAGATTCCTCCTAGCCTTTCCCCCCCTGTAGCTGGTGAAACAATCCAGATCCTTCTCCCTCAGATGCTGTATCATGCCCGATGAACAGTGTGTGTGGGGGGGATTGGATGAGAGCTGCTGATCCTTGAATCCAAAATTTGTGAATGATTGTTTTTTGTTTTTGATTAAAGCATTCCATATGCGGTTAGTTTTATACATTTCACATATCAGGTACACCTGTTGGACTGATTTCTGATGAACACTATCAGCCTGAGTGTTATATTTACTGTACAATCAACTATTGTTCTAAATCACAAATTTTATACTTATAGTATTTTTTATAAATCTACTGTATGTTAGTCTGTCCTCAATATCTGTGGCTGTTTACTCAAAAGGGCCAATGCAAGTAAATTAATTTTTCTGTTTTGTCTGTTTCAAAAGTAATAATAAAAAATAATAATTAAGAAATGACAAACTGCAAAAATGTGACCTTTAAGACTTTTATTTCTATAAATATCAATGTACATTTGAACTGATCGGTGTGCAGCACAAACATCTTTCTTGTCCAGCTGTGACATTTAAACTGTTTTACTCTAGAAAAAGTGCACTTTCTTCCAAATTGGCTGTTCAGCAAATACACGGGTATCAAAATCTTTTGCCACCCATTTACCTGCTGGGAGGCTAATTGCCCTTGCTTTGTACCTTTCTTCCACACAGTACAGGATGGATGGTGCTTCTTGTTTTTGTATCACAAGACTGATCAAAAAAAAAAAAGGATCCCGCTTCATTAAATCAGTTCTAAAGAAGCAGACATGAAGATTGTATAGGAATTTCTTTTACTTATGTATTAATCACATTATTTTATTGTATAATGCCTTGGTGCCACTGGATTTTAACATGTCTCACACTCAGTAAGACAAATGGTGGGGGTCTAGTAAGGAAGTTGGTGGAAGCAGACAACTCCACAGGAAGAGTCTTTTGTCTCTTCGAGGACTCTGGGAGGTAGCAAGGGAGTGTGAACCTTAAGGTGTGAAACAGCTGCGTACTGCCTTTTGTTCCTGAAGAAGGTATTTAACTGGGAGCCATGCTAGGCTCAGGGAGACTCTGCTGACCGTCTGCCCCGCGGTCATGCAGGCTCTCCGCCAACTTGGTTGTCTGTTGTCTTTGTGTGTTTGGATTAAAAAGTGTTAGCTACTGCTCGTCTGTAGGCTTTATTTAATCGAAAACTTCCACAACAAGGTGATCGTGAACAGAGCCCACTGTTAAAGGTCAGTAGCTGTTGAGAATAGATTCCTTAATATACATCATAGTTAAAGAGAATATAGTTTGGGATTGATTGTAATATTACAATATGGCCGTTAATGGGTGTAAGAAGGCCTGGAATGGGAACAAAGAACTGGGGTGCAGGGCAGGAGGACAATCAACCTGGGCCAGGAAGCAAGAATTACTGAGGGTGAGGGGCAGGCAAAGGGACACTACCTTAAAAGGAGATGGGGTCAGGGTGTCAGCACCCTTGGCCACTGCACTAGTGTATTTCCATTGTGGGGGTGTTTACTGTAGGGGGGAGGAGACCAGAGGTTATAACTGTAACTGTTGTGTGGAGTTCTTTAGATCAGCCTTTAGCATAGGACTGCAGTGTGCTGATCTCCAGATGCATCTGTAAGAATAATGGGTAATAAAAGGATTGTGTAAAACATGGAAACATCTCAGCGTGATCTCTACCAGGACCAAAAGAATCGCAGAGACCGGCGTTGTCTCAACATAGCTTTTTTTTTTATTTTTATAAACCCAAAGTTCACTGAGACGAGGGATGGGATTTAGGAATCCCCAAGGAGCGGAAGCAAATTACAGCCTCTGCTCCTGACAGCTGGGCGAGTTGGTGGACACTCGGGTTACCCAACGTGTCTGCTGTTTGTTCTTTGATAGTCTCTTTAAAATGCAGCCCTCTGGCTTTTTCTCAGGGAACACAGAGCAGCAGTTAGAGTATGGTCCCTGTACTTACAAGTCTGTTATTGTCACTTCTGTAGCTTTATTTAATGCCTCCCACAAACATTGTACTAATATTAAACATGTTTCCTGTGCTGTACTTTAAATCGGTGCATTACGTTACAGATGGACGAAGCTCATTTTGTCACTGCGTACAGCTGAACGCACACAGCAGGCTCCTCATTCTGCTGCTTCTGTTTCCCTCTTCTTCAGTAGATTCTTTAAGAAGAATTCGCCTGTGAAGAAAGAAAAGAAGAAATGCACTGAATTCATCCATCCTCTGCTTCTTGTCCCGTTCACAGGAGCAGCAGTCTAAGCAGAGATCCCCAAACCTACTTTCCCTGCCCACTTATCCCAGTTCTTCCATGGGGGACCCTGAAGCATTCCCAATTCACCTGAGAGAGATAACCTCTTAAGGCTACTGTGGGGTCTGCCCCAGGTCCTCCTCTAAATAGGACATACCTAAAATACCTCATTTAGGAGGAGGAGGAGTAGCAGCTCCACACCGATTCCCTTCCAAATGACTGAGCTCTACATTCCTGTCTCTGAGGGGGAGCCCACCCGCCCTTCAGAGGAAGCTCATTTCCACCACGTGAATTGATCTAATTTTTATTGAGTGATTTGGCCCAAGTTTTACTGCTGAATTTGTCTGAAAATGCAAAGCCACGTTTAATAACATGATTTCTCTTCTTAACTGAAACAAATTAACTGTCTCTCTTTTGTCTTTGTAATCATATAATTATGCTTATAGTTGATATCCCTGATCACAGTGTTTTGTTTTTATTTTTATCTCTGACCTAATATCTCCATTTTTATTTGAATGTTTTTGGCTTAGTTGGCTTTGGACAGTCACGAGGATGATTTGTGCACTTCATTAGGCACTCTTTTCCCCACCTGATCGTCTCTTTAAAAAAAAAAAATTGCAATGTTTATCTGACAAAGTCTGTAATATGTTTCCAGAAGTGCAAAGTTGAAAATATGTAACTAAAATGATTTCATATAGAGATTTAATATTCTTTGCACACTGGCTGGACATGTTGAATATTAATATATCCAAAAAATACTAATAAACATTTATTAACATCACTTCTCACCTGCTTTGTAGGAGGATCGCACCAGTGGTCCGCTGGCTGTGTAGGTGAAGCCCATATCACTGCCAACTTTTTCCCAGTGGGCAAACCTCTCTGGAGTGACATATTCCTCCACCTAAATCCCAAAGACACGCACAGAGTCAGAGTGAATGTGTCTGTAGCCAGCAGCACAGCAGTAGGAGTGTTTACCTTTAGGTGGCGTTTGGTCGGCTGCATGTACTGCCCGAGTGTTAGACAGTCCACTTCTGCCTCTCGCAACTCTGTAATGACATCCTGTCAGAAAACTGTAGAGTTTGTCTGATTTTTTATAATGTGTGTGTGCGTGAGACAGCGGACTACACACCCGTCATAGTGCTGATGATCTGTTGGTCAGTCTCTCCGAGCCCCAGCATGATGGAGGTCTTGGTGAGCACCGTCGGTTTGACCTTTTTAGCGTGCTTCAGGACGCTCAGAGACTGATCAAAGTTTGCTCTGGGATCACGTACATGCCTGTAAATACACGACAAACATCACTGTGCATCTGAGAAATGTCTCTGCTGCACCACCTGCTGGTCAACATGTGTTACTGCAGTGTAACGACATTGCATGTTGTTATTAACTTTAACAATACTTCACACGAGCCAGCTTTATAATGTGTGTTTATGACCATGAATTTAAGCTTTTTAATGGGAGAACTAGAAATTAGATGCTCAGATTTTGACTCTGAGGACTTACAGTCTATTAAAAATCCCTCAGTACCTTTGTAGCTCGCGCACCGTTTCCACATTGTGGGCGTACACGTCTAATCCCGACAGGGCGATCTTTTCCACCGCTGCCAGGTCTCCACGGAAATCAGGAGTCAGGCATTCAACCAGAATCTGAGGATTTCTAGCAGGCAGAATCAAAGTTGCTTTTACAAAGACATTCAGATAATGTAATAAATCCAAAAGGGGCGGAGTCGTGTTTACCTTTCTTTCAGGTTAGTAACCGTCTTAGCAAAGTGCTCCGCTCCACCATCAGCAATATCTGCACAAAAATACAGAGAGAAGAAAAATCTAAGATATATATGATATATAATATTTTGAAAATGCCTTGAATTTTATCTTTAATTTGTGGACATTTTTGTATTTGTAAACTGAAAGTTAAAACCAGAACAATCTGATTTCTTTACAGCTTTATGTTATTAAATTCTACAAATTGCAATGCAGTTGATCGTCACTCATGTAATTCTTGCTGATGCACAACAGCAAGAGACTCATGCAGATACAGTCAGGTAAGAAACTAGTACCGTCTCTGTCGACCGAGGTGAGGACCACGTAATCCAGTCCCCAGGCGGCGATGGCTTTGGCTGTGTTGTACGGCTCGTCAGGGTCAAGAGGCGGAGGCTGACGTGCTGTCTTTACTGAGCAAAACCTGCACCCACGGGTGCATGTGTCTCCCATCAGCTACACACACAAATACATTATCTCGCTAAAATAGAACAAAGAATCCAGACAAATACAAAACACTGATATGGCAGCGCCAGTTCATAAAAGAACAGATGGTGAATATTAAAGATTAAAGTGCTTCTTTGCCCTCTTCAAAAACTGGAAGTAAATTCAGAGAGCGGCAGAGACTCACCATGATGGTGGCTGTGGCTGTGGCATACTCTCCTCCTCCCCAGCATTCCCCGATGTTCGGACACCTGGCCTCCTCACACACCTGAGATAACAGACAGATTATTCATAAATCACAACAACAGTCATCTAAAGATGCTTTATATCATAAGGTAAAGACCCAACAATATTAGAAAGAACTCCAAAACCAGATGAGCTCCTATGAGATAGGACTTTGTGACAGAGGGAAGGCAAAAAAAACAACAACACAAAAAACACTTCAACAGGAAGAAACCTCCAGCAGAACCAGGCTCAGGAAGGGGCAGCCATCTGCTGAAATCCAAACTGGGTGCTGGAAGCTTTGGAATTTTTTGAGCTATCCTACTGCATTTAAACTGTTTTAATGGGCTGTTTAATGTTTTGGCTGCTGTTACACGGGAATTTCAAAATTTCTTTCTTATCTTATTAAACATTTTTCAGCCTTTCTGTTGAAGGTTGAATAGTCAAAAACGTAGCATGTGCCGTTCAGTGAGCTGAGAAACTGCAATATTTTGATAAGTGCGTCAGTGCTACAGCAGTGTGAAGGCGAATCAGCGGAGACCTTCAAAGATCACATTAGCTGCACCTCAAACATTTCTTTAACAGCAGCCAAAAAGCAGCTGGGCTGCCTGACAACTTACAGACGGAAAACTTACCGTGTGAAGGTTGAGATCTCTCAGGGTGTTCTTCAGCCTGTTGTAATTCTTTCCAATGGGGATCTCAGTCTTCAACCATGGAGGAAGCCGCAGCCTGACAGGAACAACAGCAGACAGCTCGGTGTCTAACAGTGCTCTCATCTCTAAGTATCTGTGTCTAAATACTGCTAAAAAACGTTTACTGATAATAAAGAAACCTGCTAGGTCAGAGCCTGCAGTACGGGGAAGAGCTCATTGAGAATTAGTGGCAGGCTGTCAGGTCTGCCTGATGCCCCTACATGTAATAACTTTGTCCTCATCTGTATTTTGAGCTCTATGATGAAAAATCCTGCATGCATTTGGATGCGTTTTGCTACTAAACAGTCGTTTTCTTAATCTCAACTTCACTTGCATCTTTTGTGACTGGCTGCAGGGCGCTAACCAAGCGCCCGTTACTTTTTGCATGTGTCGACTTCGCCTTTAATGCTCATTATGGTGTTGAACTGTTCTCTATAGCATGTGTCTGCACATTTATGGTAGAGCCGAGCAGGCCAACAGCTCATTATCCAACAAACACTTTTATATTTCCTCTGAAATCCATTTTTCCATTTGAATGTTTAATGCAAACATTTTGACTAGCTTTTACTGAAGCTTTAACAGCGTTGCTTATAGCAGTGTTTGTGATGAAGTTTTGGACTCAGAGACTCAGCTTCTGTTTGTGTGCATTAACAGAACAAAATAAACGTGCAGATGCTGATTTCTATACTAAATGATAGTCGACCTGTCATTTAGTATAATCCAACAGCTGCTACAAGTGAAATGCAGTCTGTTTATTTTTGTCAGTGATCATGAGTTTAAAACTCAGACATGCCAGCATCTTAACATGGACTCAAACCAAAGCTCAAGCTCCCCGGGGCCTGAAGCCTCACCTCTCTCCCTTCTGTCTCTTCAGGGTGCCTTTGTACTCAGCCCACTTGCTTTTTTCAGATAATTCCCCTGAAATAAAGTCTTGCAGGTCAGGCCCGTCGTCTCTGAGCAGCTCCTTCTTTCTGTCACTTCTCTCCGGGGAGGGTCTGGTTGATAAGCAGCTGGTGTAAACCTGCAGAGCAACACTGACGATTAGTTCAGGAGCTTCTCTGTGTTTCTACACACGGCAATTCACACTGACAAGGTGGTCACGACTCCGGCTACTAAACTACATATTCGCTTAGACACATACAATCTGTCAGAGGCCTCCTGACAGACCCAGCTGGGAAGCCCGCAGTCAGATTTTTTCACCGGCTGGAGCCGTTAATAGACTATCCGAACCCAAGTTTGTTAGACTGAGTTGTGAATTTAACTACTCACGTGTGGGATGCATCTGGGACTCAGCCATAGGTGGTTTGTGGAGAAACGACCCGCTACGCAACAACTTTGCTTGAGTAGCGCCATGACTTTGGCTAGCAGGCGGTTAACGTTGGGATAGCACCTCGGTGAACGACTGCTTTGGTCTGGTGCTTCACGTGAAGCGGACAGAATTGGAAAGTATTCTTTAAAACATAATGAGCTAAAATTTCAACGTAGGTGATTTTTTTACGAACTTAATGGCTTATAGATATATTTTAAAATGAAGACTAGACGAGCTGGAACATAACATTATGGCAGCATTAAAAAATTTCTAAAACAAAATAAGGCAACAGATGGACTAAAAGATGGCCATTAATGATGATCATTTGAAAGGGACTTACATGAAAACATGTTTAAATACTATTTAACAAATTGAATCAGATTCAAATTGAGAGACAATACTCAATATTATACAATACTTAAGTAAGCGAAATCGCCCATCAGTTATAATGTTGAAATCCCTTTGCAGTGAAGTGACAGTGAACGCGTCTCTGGGAGTGCTGAATGTAGACTGTACGATGCCACTCGAATGCAGCAAAGCTAAATAAAATGTTTGAAAAGCTTGCAGTAAAAAATAACAACAGAAAACGCTGCTCTTTAACTTTTGGAATCTTTTTGGTGGTTTGCGACACCTCTGTTCAAATATTTACATCCAAAATATGCGCTCCTCGATCGTCTGGTAATGCCTGCTGGTGGCACGTACAATTGCGTGGTGACGTCGTCCTTTCCTCCTTTCCTCTGCTACCGGCGAGGTGAGGATAACCGAAAAATTGTTGCCTTGCTTTCATCTAACTACATCTATGTCTCTTAAACCTATATTTCGCTCGATTTTGAGCCATCACACTGAGAATATGTTACACTTCTCACCATAATCTGTATTTGTAGCCTACTTTAGCTCTGTCGGGATATATGATGTTAGTTTTAATCAGGTTTGATGCTTGAGGCCTGGCGCTCTGTAAGCGCTGAGGCCCACAGCGGATTCAACAATGCTCATATTAAACATGGCGTTTGCGCGGCTCCAGGTGTTATTTAACAACTTCTAACGTTTTTACTGTATCGGTATCTCATGAAAGGAGCTGGTCGGCTATCTAATGCTTACTTCTGTTAGCATTGTAGCTAAAGCTTGCTGACACCAGTGTGGTGTGCCTGTATCTCACAGTCCGAACTTTAGTAAACAGTCATTGTGGAGCTGTTAATATCACAGATATAAAGGCATACACGCTTTAGCCTGAATCTTTAGCCAGTCAAACTTTTCAGAGTTGAAAGCACCTATTTTGTCTCTTTACAGAATGAAGACCATTCTCAGCAGCCAAACTGTCGACCTCCCCGACAATGGTAAGGGGAAAATCAGTTTTCCACACAGATGTATTTATGTCCTGTCTGTAGAGTAGCTTCTAACCTTTTTTTTTATATTTGTGCTTGTTGTGCGGCAGTCGAGGTGAGGCTGAAGGGCCGAACTGTGACTGTCAAAGGCCCCCGTGGCAAGCTCACCAGGGAGTTCAACCACATCAACCTGGAGCTCAGCCTGCTGGGCAAGAAACAGAAGAAGGTATGAAAGAGCTAGAATAATGCTAAGTTACTTAAAGTGAAGTTAGCAGCCCCAGGATGTGATGGCAGGAGGGCATCACACATGTTTGGTATTAAGGATGTGTGATTTTAGAGTGTATAAGTTTTCAGATTTAAATAGTGAGTTGTTTTGGTTGAGGTTGGATATGTAAAATTAACAACTGCATCATTTAGAAAAGTGCTTTAAGAACTGGTCGGGTCTTCAAACTACTCTGCTCAGTGCGAAGTTTGTAGATAAAGGGCTTAAAATGTCAATTTATTGTCTTAAAATGGGAGTAATCCTAAAAGCCAGTTATGTGCTTTTCCTAAAAGTGCCATAAGTGGATTGCAGAATGAGTTTTTGTACAGGGCTGTTTATATGACTGTTGAAAAAAAGGTTTAATACATACACGGCTGGTGTCAACAGTGCTAAGAACAAGTTGTAGAAAAAGTCTTTAATTTTAGAGGGAAACTATTGAAATATCTGACTGGCTGTGACTGAGATGATATCAGCATTTGAAACCATCCAACTGTTTTCTTCACGTGATCCAATCCCAGCTGTGATAGGGCGAGAGGCAGGGTGCATGAACAGGTTTTCAGTCTATTGCAGAGCTAACACAGAGAGACAGACAGCTGTTAATGCTCACATTCACGCCTATGGCACACTTTGTTATTAATGTATCATGCATATATTTGACAGCAGCACTGTTGCCGCACAGCAAGAAGGTCCTGAGTTCATTCCACCATCAGGCCGGGGTCTTTCTGTGTGGAGTTTGCATGTTCTCCCCGTGTTTGCGTGGGTTCCCTCCGGGTACTCCAGCTTCCTCCCACAGTCCAAAGACATGCAATTAGTGGGGTTAGGTTAATTGATCAATCTAAGTCGCCCATAGTTGTGAATGCGGGAGTGAATGTGAGCGCGAATGGTTGTCTGTCTCTGTGTGTTAGCCCTGCGACAGACTGGCGACCTGTCCAGGGTGTACCCTTCCTCTCGCCCTGTGACAGCTGGGATACGCTCCAGCGCCCCCTGTGACCCTGAAAAGGAGAAGCGGATGAATGGCATATATTGGAAGTGTGGGAGGAAACCAGGATACTCTGAAAGAACAAAACAAGGGGAGAACATACAAACTCCACACTGAAAGACCCTGGCCAACCAGTGGATTTAAACCCAGGACCTTCTTACTGGGCTAAGCACCACACCTCCGTGCTGCCCCTCGTTTAAAACCTCTAGAATGTGTCCAATAGTCTGTGTGGTTTGCACTTGCTGTATAGTAAGTGTATACTGACATTAATGCATTTGGACGACAGAGTTGGTTTTTGGTGTTCTGACATGTGTTCCTGTCAGATTTGAGGCTGTTAGCCGGGGTGTAGTTAGTGTATCGCAACAGGTAAACAGCAGCTACTGCAAAAGGTAAATGTGGTTGCATTTTCCAATGGCGGTCTGCAAGGCCAGTATTTCGCTCACATGTGGGCTGATTGCTTCAACACCTGTTTCATGCAAGTGATTTGAGCTGCTGTGCTTTTTTTTTTTTTTTTTTTTTTTTTTCTTTTTTTCCTCAGCTTCGTGTGGATAAATGGTGGGGAAACAGGAAGGAGTTGGCCACAGTCCGCACCATCTGCAGCCACGTCCAGAACATGATCAAGGGAGTCACTTTGGTGAGAGCTCAGATATGCTTGTTTCAGTCGGTCCAGTTATAAACCCTGTGCATGCTTCTGGCTGACCCTGCCTATTGTTCCAGCATCAATTCTGTTTGCCTCTCATGCTTTTGTGCCACTGCAGGGTTTCCGGTACAAAATGCGTTCCGTGTACGCCCATTTCCCCATCAACGTGGTCATCCAGGAGAGCGGCACCCTGGTCGAGATCAGGAACTTCTTGGGAGAGAAATACATTCGCCGTGTCCGAATGAGGGGTGGTGAGTCTGCGTCACATCATGGAAATGTTTATGAGAATGGCACGTGTGAAGTCCAGAAATATTCAAAGTTTCTGAGGTGTGGCGTAAATGACTTTGTCAGGAGAAGTTGGAAGTTATGTATAACTTCATATTGGGTTTGTGGTTGTTTAGACACAAATACTTGTGACACATTAAAAGTTAAAATAGCCAGATGGAAGGGACCACAGTGAATTTATCATTTTAGTCTTCAAAATGTCAAATTATCTTTAAAGATCATTAAAGACTTGTTTTTCTGATCTTTTGTTTCATCAGTTCAAAGCCCAAGAGGCATCATACTAAAATCATGAAATTCACACACTTGTGAAGCTGAACGAGCTGCTGGTTGGGCAAAAACTGCTAACGGCTGATTTGAAAACCAGGGCTCGTTAAATTTATGGATTAGGAAATTATTTTGTCAATCAATCAAAGCTTTATTCGTCACATGCAGGTTGCCCTGCAGTGAAATGGGACCCCCCCCCGACCTTACACATATAGCACAAACATTACATGGGGATACAGGTCGGAGATTGGTAGAATCAGAGAAAAAACATTGAAATGTACACTACAATGGGGAAAGTACAAGAGGAAAAAAAGAGACCCCTACTCAAGCTATGCTTCCATGGTAGGACAGCATGAGAACAGGAAACAAAAAAAAACTCCTCTGCACAAAAAGCACAAATGTCCACAGCACAACATTGTGAAGACATGACAAGCCACAGGGGTGGGTGGGGGGTGAGGAGTAATCCGAAGTGAACACAGCAGCCGCCCTGCACAGCGCTACCATTCCAGCGCGGCACACAGACCCGCCGTGTTCCCTCGCAGGAAACAAGAATCGAAGGCGTTGGAAAGGGAAGGGGGATGAGTGAGTGCCTATCAGTGTAAGTGTATGTGTGTGCGTGTCCATAGGCCGAAGGACACTGTCTCAGCTGAACTATCAGGCTAAGTAAACAGTCCTCCAGCCAATCCAGGTGTCCTTGCATGGGATGGGAAGAATAGCCGTAACACAGTCATTATCAGGGAGTGATTGTTCGGCTCCAGCCTTGGGCCTGCAGCTGGCGCCGTGATGGGGATCTGCAATGTTCATGTTGGTTTTGTTCATTTCCATGCGAGCAGCCCAGGAGAATTTTCAGGCTGCTCTTTAACACTCTGACACTGGCCTCTCAATCTCCCGTTGGAGAGTCGCGAGCCTCCCCATGATGGTATCAAACTTCTGTTCCATGGTGTTGTCATTCTTTTGATTCTGAGACCTCACAACTGCAGTGATCCGTTCCACGATGTCTTCCAACTGTCGCTCAAGGGTCTCATTTTGAGCAGGCCTCTCTCTGATGTTTCCCCTCATACGCTCAATGGTGTTGTTTTGAGCCTTCACAGCAGCTGTAAGCGTCTCAAAGGTGTTGACCATATTACGTTCGTTGTGAGAGGTTGCGCCTCGTTCCATTGCGATTCCAGCGGGCAGCCTTGGGGGGGTTTGAACAGCCGGTTCCGCTCTCTTATTTCTCCGATAAACCAGGGCTAAGCCAACTCCGATCAGCATGAACCCTGTTATCACGGTTCCGAATAGATGGATATCTTCAGCGTCCTCGATCGACAGTCCTGCCAGGCACATACAGATTAATTGGTGTAGTGAGTCTCTGAGGAGGGA